CCCATTCTCCAGCTCCCTTCACCCCAAATCCTCAGGGGCTGGCAGAGTGGGAGCACTATCTTTGAAGTGCCGGTGCAAGAGCTGGCCTTGTCCTATGTTTAGTTGGTTTGGGCCTGTGCATTTTTTTTTTTTTTTTTTTTTTAAATCAGCTTTTGTTTTAAAATAACTAATTTTAAAAAAGCAAAATCTGTTGGAAATGGATTGTTTTTTAAATTAAAAAGCACATACAGTGGAAGACAGGAGAAAAGCAAGATTCTAAATATATTCCRAAGAAACAGATGCCAAAGTGAGAGGGGGATAACTTGGAAGCATGAGAAAATTGGGAAAATGTAATTTGCATTCCTTAACATGAAATCTATTCTCTTGAGGGCAGCAGTGTCTAGTGGAAATAAGAAGGGGTGGAAGCACCAGCTTTTGAGACTGCGCTTAAAATTCCAAATATTTTTTATCTGCCACCTACTATTTATTTGTAGCATCACAAGAAGGAAGGCCATGCACCAAAACCTGCACTGAGATTTTCTGTGTCCCAGAAAAGGGCTTTATAAAGTGACAACAAGGAGTTAYGAGGTGCTTTGGCACTGCCTTCACCAGAGCCAGCTCTCCATCAAATAGTTAGGAAGCAAGGAAGTAATATTGTGAGATCACCTAAAATCAAATGAGTTTTTACTCATTTATCATATTCCAAAGATTAAGAGTCAGTGACATTCTTCTCCTCAGTGAGAGGCCACCATACTCAACTCCTTGGTCCTTCTCATCTCCTTTCAGTGATTGTTCTCCTGCCTTCTCYACTCTTTGTGCAAAGCCTGTGCATTTGGATGACTTGAAGGGACATTTATGGGCCCTGCTGTCTCATACGAGGGAACTGAAAAGTCACGAGTGTTTTATGTCAGGTTGTGAGTGCCTTATGGTGGGAAGAGACATTTGAAGGAGCTGCAGTACTGAGCCAGGCAGGGCCTGTGAGCCCTGACACAGTCGTTCCCTAAAAAAACAGCCCTCAGTGGCTGCCACATTGCTTTAATATCCATTAGTTACTTGCAGGAAGAATTGCAAGACCGTAAAAATTATATTCCCTGCATGCAGAATCTGGCTGGGATGCTGCAGGAGGCAGATAGAGCCAAGGCAGATTGCTCCCGAGTTTTGGTGGTTAGATGAAGGGCGTGAGGCCAGAGTCAGCATTTCTTTAATGAAAACCCGTGCTCCGTGAGCTCACACTTCTGGACTCTGGTTGAACACTCTTCAGCCTCATGTGAAATGTCAGCCAAAAGGCTGAGGTTCCTCTCCGTGGTGGAGCTCACTTGTTGAAACACTTTATCCACAGTCCATAGAGCCCTGCACTGTCCAGCTGTTAACCCAGCCGTGTTTGCCCCTGATCCACGTCCCTGTGTGCCACTAGTGACAGCTCTTGTTCAGGGGGACACGCACTTTAAACTGGGTGTTGAAATAATCACTTTTTAAACGATCCCTTTGTAAATGTTACAATGGCATGTTCCTTGGCTTGTAATTCAGAAAAATCCTTATGTGAGTGATTGAACCTCCTCCCCAGCAGCCCCAAGGCAGMCATGTGCAGTGCAGACAGATGCACAGTCTGAGCTGGAATGTTCAAATGCAGATTTGGTGTTATTTGGAATTGCTACACATCCACCTTGATGAGTTAAGGTTTAAGATGATAATGTTTTTTAAAAGAGAAATTATCCTCTGCAGGGAAGCTCCTTCCTACAGAAAGTTTTCTGCAGCCCTGAACAAACTGAGCCATGCCATTGAGACATCAGCAAACTGGGGGAGATTATAAAGCCATGGTGCTTCCAGTTGTCCTTCCATCTCCTCAAAGGGAGATTTATAGCAGTTACTCTGTTGCATTCATAGAAGGAATCTGTGGTTAGCAATATCTGTTATGGAAATTGGGCTCTATGCTTGGATATGTGGAGTCTTTAGGTGGGTTTTCTTTTTTTTTTTTTTTTTTAAGTTAACCAGAACAAACAGAATTTTGTTTTAATCTACACACATGAGGGATGCTATGTTCATTAGCAGCTGGAGAAGGTGCCTGGGTGACGTTCAAAATGCAACCTCCTGGATTAAGCCCACAGTACCAGCGTGGGCAGCTGTAAAGCCCCTGCTGGCCCCTTGCTGGAGGACACTTAGTGACCTTGCTGGCTCTCTCTGGGATTGGGGTGAGGTGGAGCACAGGCAGCACTAACCAAGCTGGAGGACACTTAGTGACCTTGCTGGCTCTCTCTGGGATTGGGGTGAGGTAGAGCACAGGCAGCACTAACCAAGCTGCCCTAAGCTGCCTCCTGCCCTACAGCCAGCAGGACACAGGGGTCACTCCTGCCCTACAGCCAGCAGGACACAGGGGTCACTCAGGACAGACACCAGGTGGCTGAGGGGCAGCCCCAGTGGGGGTTTCAGGAGAGGGTAGTGCCCGTTGTCCTTTCCCCTGGTGACACTGGTCCCTGGCACCGCTGGCCTTTGCCACCTGTCCCTGTGCAGCTGTGGCTCTGCTGCCCCATGGCACGGCTCGGGTTCGCACGCCAGTGGGGCTGCCACAGCCCAGCCCTTGTTCCCCTGGCCTTGCTGAGGCTGCCAGGCYGCCACCCTCCTCCAGCCTTTCCTGGGCTGCTCATGGCATGGACAGRGCCCTGGCTGTGCCCTGCTGCAGTCGTGCACGGCAGCTCTTTCCAGCCGGGTACAATTCCCTTTTCTTGAGCCCCRGCCGTGAATGTGCCTCTGTCTCGTGTGCCTCACCAGCAGCTTCTGCACAGCCTGGCACTGGAGGGGTCTGCTTCTTCAAAGCCTTCTCCCTGAGGCAATCTTTTCCTCCTATGGAAAGTGAGAATGAAAGTGCCTAAATTAAGCAATTGTAGCAGCCTTGAAGGACAAAGATTCCTTTCTGCTTGGGGCTGCTTTTGTAGCCAGACTGCCATGATYGTGTTTGTGTCCTGTGTTTACTGGCATAGGAAAGAATGTGTGATTGGGATTTTATGGCACTTRCAGCTCAATGTTTTTCCCATGAGCTATTCCAATGAATCACTCTTGGATTTTTAGCACCTTCTTTCCACTGCASTATGGGTTTGGGGGCAGTCAGAACAGAGGGAGAATACTCCCTTGATCATGGATTTAAAACTTGATGATCTTAGAGGGCAGACCCTTGTCAGCACTGGTGCATCACCATCTCAACAGGTCCAARATCCAGCCCCTTGGATGGTCTGCTGTCCCTTTGGGTTAGGAGGGAGCCCAGCTGTGAAGGAGGAAAACATGTGAGTCATGCTCAGAGGGCTGTGGGAGCTGCAKTTTTCCCTCCCTGCAGCCAAGCCACCACCTCTGGTCATCAAAATATTTTGATTTTTATTTTGGGAGGACAAAAGTTTTCTAATGTGACGCTCCACCATTTTCTCAGGTGGAACTCTCCATTCTTTCATTAAAGCTGTGGTCAGGGRATGTTCTCTTGGCACTGAACAGCCTTACAACCAATACTGATWTTTTAGCACCCTGCTTTGTGACTTGCTATGACAAATGCTAGGGCAGTATTTGGAAAAAAAAATCTAAATCAGGGTCCAAATCAGTGAAAATAGGGTTGGGATTTTGCCTGGCTGATTTTTTCTTGTTTGATCATTGTATGAGGTTGTGGAGAGTTTGTGGGATGTCTTTGGATCTCAGAATTCTGCAGATGAAGAATGGTATCGAGARAGGGGCTCTGAGACAGTGTTTAGTGCCCCTCAGTGTGTGTAACCAAGCTTCGTGCAATCATCGCAGCCAGGGGAAACTCTGAAAGGGCAAATTCTGGCATTTGGGCTCTGAGCAGATCTGAAACCATGCAGTTTTCAGGCAGTCATTTTCAAGCTTCAAGGGTGAAGCCCTGATGAAGTCAATTGCAGGTTTCTGTCGCTTTTGTTGTTGTTAAAGTGCATGCAGGAGACATCTCAGGCATTACTGTGCTGTAAATCCTCCACGTTTCCCATAATTTCTCTAATCCCTGCCCTGCCCTTGGCATTTATGCAAAGCTCCAGTGAAGCTTCTCTCTGGAGCAGTTTGATGAACAAGCCCAGAGRAGTGTTGCTTGAGGCTTGAGGACTTGCTCATGACTCTTCTCCTCACAATTGTTTGGATGGATCAGTACCTTCCGAAGCAGCATAACTCCCTCTGAGAGAATCAGCTTTTTTGTTCTTCAATCCTTTGTTCTCAGAGTGCACAACAGCTCTTCACCTGCTCGAGGCTGCAGTCGTTAACCTCAGGAAGGGGACAAGAAACCTTTGTGGAGGTGTTTTCCCCCCACACAATAATCCTGAAGCTCTGTTTGACAGTGAAGACACGGCCCTTCCACCCCTGAAGGGCTCGGGGATGCTTTGCTCACTCAGCTTTGCCAAGCAGTTGTGCTGCTCCCCGTTTTGAGGCCAAGGAACTCAGTGGTCCAGTGGGTTGTCCTTGTGCTGTTCTCAGGACAAGTTCCCATCTGGCAGGGGCCTTGCAGAATGACCAGATACTCCACAGCTCTGGCTCAGCATTCCTGGGACAGTCAGGGAAAGCAGCACGGTTCTGTCAGAAGCTTTTGTGCTTAACTGGTAGAGCACAGTGCTTTGTCGAGGTCTGTTGTGTTGTACATCCATGAGGAACCATCTTGATCATCATTTTCTTAATAAAACCAAGGAACTGAAAGGTGATTGGGAGTGTTAACTCGGCATTTATCAAGGCACACAATGAGCTGTCTGTTGTTACCTTAAACTGAAGAGACAGAATTCCCAACTTTTGGCCCTGGCACACACTGTCAGAGCCTTCCCATGTGCCACCTTACATGGCTCACAGGTGTAAAGGCATGGGAGGAGCTTTCCTGTGTTAACGTACTTCTAAATCGTAGTGAAAGCCCAAGGTCTCCAGGCATTCAGGCTTAGTAAATTATTTAAAAATTCTACTGCTGGGTGCATGTGGAGTGGGAAAAGGRATCAGAAAAGGATGGTTATTGTTTAAAGGTATAAATGAATTCTTTATGTTACTTTTTTTTTCTCCAGACTTTCTGAAGCAGACCACATATGAAGTGGAGGCATTCTTAGAGGCCATTCAGTTCTTCCGGCAGGAGAAAGGCCACTATGGCATGTGGGAAATGATAGCTGGCAATGAAAAAGAGGTAAAAGAATATATTCCTCATTTGTTTTTTGGCTTTGGATGTGGCAGCTCTGAGGACAATAAAGATTTTAAATTCTCTTGGCAAAAATGGCATCTTAAAAAAGAAAATTTAGTAGATAGAAATACCTGAGATTTTAAGACACTTCTTACTCATATGTAAGTGATAATTCTTTTTTAATAAAAACTTCCGAAAAGAGTCTGGCATAGTAACAGTCACATTTAAACACCAAAAATSGGTGTTCCTCAGTTCTGCAGAAAYGAGATGCTGAGCCYGGGGTCTGGGTCCATACTTGGCCCYCTGGCTATGGAGCACTCATGGTAGCTTGAGGTAATGCCACAATCCCACTGGCATCACTCCACVTGTCTTTAGGGCATGATTTGGACCCTGATTTAGAATTTTTTTTTCCAAACACTGAGCACTCAGCAGCTAATGCTTACTTTAGTGCCAGCTGTTGGGTGTTTTACTTGATGAAATCTGGCTTCCCTTTGGGAAAAATTGAAAAAAACCTGAAGGAGAGAAGTTTGTTTAAAGAAACCAGATAATTGTTTTAGAAGAAGCCTACCTTTGAAATGCTGAAAAAATGTGGAAGCTGGAGGAAATCTATAAACAGTGTCTTTCCCACTGGCATCGTGTCAGGGATTGAAGTTCCCTGCTAACATCTGATAATAAATTCTTGAAGGAGTTACAGGAGGGTTTTTCTCTTCTCCCCTCCTCCCTTCAAGTTATGGAGCTATTATAGTGCTAGCTTCATTTTATGTTTTATTTTTCCTATTACTTGCCAACAACTTACTCATAACCCATATACCTCGAGAGAGCTGTAATCAGAAGACATCCAGCCAGTTCCACCATTATCTTCTTAGCARTAATTCATTCTGTAAGTGTAATGTGTTCTCATGGCCTGCTTGGACCAAACATCATCATTATTTTAGGCAAATATCCAAGCTAAGTGAGTGTTTTGGAGCAAGCAGGCTGCAATTTGTTGCTGTAAAAGTCCCTGTACAATGCCAAGAAATGCATTTGCTGACATAGATTTGTGGTGGCCAAGTCCCTGCAGCATCAGAGCTYTCCTGTCTGCCTGGGACTGCAGCATGGCACCTGAGAGAAGATCCACCAATGCCCCAAAAAGAGTCTGTTCCCAGAGACTTCAGGATTCTTCACAATATAAAATTGTGGAATCCCGAGCTGGAAGGGACCCACAGGATCATCCAGTCCAACCCCTGTCCCTGCACAGACCCCCCACCAATCCCACCCTGTGCATCCCTGGCAGCGCTGTCCAAACGCTCCTGGAGCTCTGGCAGCCTCGGGGCTGGGACCATTCCCTGGGGAGCCTGGGCAGTGCCAGCACCCTCTGGGGAAGAACCTTTCCATGAAATCCAGCCTGATCCTCTCCTGGCACAGCTCCAAGCCTTTCCCTCGCCTCCTAGATGTATTTGATCTGTTGTCACATTTGTTATTGGTGACAGTTTGGACTATTCATGAGATCCTTTTAAAGTGAGCCATTAGTTTAGGACCTGAATTAGAGAATTGCCTGACAGATCCTTGAGCCAGCAGATCTGAATCTGAAGCTCTGCTGTGGCGTTATCTGTAAGTGTCTGAGTTAAATGAAGCTACAATAAAAGTGTATTGCATATTGGAGGTATCTGAGGGTATATTACAGCAGGGAATTGCATGTTGTATTTCTGGAGGGGCTGTTTGTGCCCTGTTTTACACTGCCCTGCAGTCAGAGCCCTTCTTTACTTGTGTTGCTCAAGTTCCTGCTGTTCTCTCGCCTGGTGCTGGTGCATGCCTCGGCTCTCTCTGGAAGCTGTAATACATGAAGTGCAGGCCCAGGAGGCACTGAGACGAATGAAAAAGCCCTGGCATGACAAAAATGGAGACTTGAGGGGTGTTTTTAATTCTGTTTTGGCTCAGCCAGCAGCTGGGTACAGCAGGGATGTGATCCTGGACTGTGCCAGGCTGGTGTTAGTGCAGCTTGCTCAGGTCACAGTGTCTGTAAGTAAAACATGGTGAGGGAGGCCTGGACTCCAAAATCAGATGTATATTAACTCTTGCACATTTTTYGTGCATTTGAGGGGGATGGGCAAGGAAAGATGTAGGCAGAGAGTGTGCAAAACCTCCRGTGGAAATGCCTGGCAGCTGCCTGCCGACATCGCTCTGCACTGTGGTGCTCAGCTTTCTGCTGAGGAATAGGGTGAGAAGTTAGCACTTCATCTCCTCACCACACAGATCCTGAGCAACCTGGTGATGGAGGAGCTGCTGCCTAACCTCCAGACAATGATCCTGCCGAAAATGAAGGGAAAGAGGAACGACAGGAAGCGGGCCTGGTTCGGGGTGAGTGCTGACACKTGCAGAATATCTGTTGCTCATAGCAGCTCTCTGTGGGTACTGATTCTGATYGCTGCTTCTCAATTTGATTTGGGTCCAGATCGTAGAGGAAACCTACAGCTTGGTCCAGCAGCAGGTGGCAGAAGAATTGAATACCTTGAAAGAAGAATGTAGGGAATTTGCAAAAACTCTGGAAGGAACCATTCGTTCAGACATGGATCAGATTCTGAACTCCAAGAACTTCTTAGCCGGAAAAATCAAAGGTTAGTGGGGGAACAGCTGTGCTTTGGAGCAGTTCTTCAGTGTTTCCCACTGTGTTGCTCAAATGACCAGAGGTCATTGTTTTGAAATCCTCATGTGGTTTGAGAAATCAAGCTGGAGACACCAATTTTCAGAAAACAAATGAGCCTCTGCTGCCTTTGATGGGAACTGATACCTGTGGCCACTGTGTCTGTGAAAATACCAGGGCTTCTCAAACTGGAACTTGACAGGTTTTGATATTCTGATGGAAGCTGTTCTTTTTGCTTTCATTTTCACTTGCACAGCCTTAGGCAGTGAAGATACAGATCACATGAGCATCATTAMGAGTGGAGTGGTTTGGACCTGATCTCTAGGAATGCACCACAAAACCAGGTTCTGGTTATGTGACAAGTTCATAGGCTGCCAAAGAATATTGAAGCCAAAGGGCTTCTTAGGTGTTTTTTAATTAATATGGAGTAATCATAATTTTGTTGTGAATATAAAAAGGAATTTAAAGAGGATGCAAAATGTTATTGGTGTTGCTTAAACCAGCAAATAAATCAATCAATAAATGKTAATCATACTTAGAGCTGCCCTTTCCTCCACCCTCACGGTGCCCCCACTTGCCAGTGTTTGCTTGGGTGAGGCATGGGACAAGGTTTCATTGTCCCTCATAAAGCTGGGAGCTCCATTCATCCCCCTCRTCACCTGTGGGGAGGTGACTCCAGGGCAAAATACAGAATGCTTGAATTCAGATTCGCAGATCTGCTCCCATTATGTGTTTCATTCTGTCTCTACAATGCAACCCCTGTCCTGTGTGCCCCTGCAGCCAGYGTGTGTGAGCCTGCCCAGAAGTGCTGTGCAGAGAACATCCAGCCATTCCTCAGCTCCATCCTGGAGGAGCTCATGGGCCCCATCAGCTCTGGCTTCACCCAAGTGCGCTCCCTTTTTGATAAGGAAGTGAACGACATCATCCAGGACTTCCAGAAGACCAATGACATGACCAGGCTGAAGGAGGTAAGACAAACCAGAGCTGGAGCTTTGKATCAGCACAAGGAGCTTCTGGCTGGACCTTGGCTGGCAGCAGGGTTTGCTTTTCAGGTGGAAGCACCTGAGTGCCRGTTTTGTCATTTGTCTGGTGGTATTTGTGCAACTGGAGTGCAGACACCAGATTTGGGATTAAGACCAAATTGTTACACTCTCTATTAACACTTCACCTCTGGTTGTTTTCTCTCAAAACCTGTTGTTCCTGCATGGGAATGCAGAACGTGGATCAGCTCATGAGCCTGCCCTACAACTCAGTGAAAATGGAGCCCTGCTATCTGAAAGTGAACCAGCTCCAGGAGCTCCTGCACGACCTCAAGAGTCGCTTCAAGGCCTATCACATTGACTCTGTGATTCAGAGGACACAGAACTTCATGCAAGAGGTACTGTAAAAGCCAATTTTTCCTCCTGGGAGAGTAGGTTGGTTTGCCCTGCTAATCTGCTTCGAAGTGATCTTGATAAAAGATCAGAGCACAAGAGCCCCAGAGTGTTTCTCAGTCAAGGTACAGATAACAAAACTTGAGAAAACCAGCTAGAAGTTGCTTGACACTTACATTTGTGAGGCTGCATGTGTGTGAGTAGYTCAGCAAGACACGGAAATTTTGGATGGATCATCTGTTCCCCTGAACTATCACATTCTGAATTCCCAGTGTCTCAGCACCCAAGAAAGTTGTGTGCATAACCAGTGGGGGTGACTAAAATTCACCCAACTCCCATTGTCAAGGGAGGGTCTTCAGTGTGTGTTACCAAAATTCAATGTGTCCTTCTTGGTAGCTGATTTTCTCATTAATATAAAGTAAAGCAATTAATGTTGGAACCTTGGAGCCAGATGATATCTCAGGCTGTGGGTGCTTTGTCCAGCTCACTTTTCAGGGGACTGGTGGAGCTGACAACATCATTTCAGATGAGAACTGCACCCCATCTCTCTGTCCCCTCTTGTGTGTGGTGGTATAGGCTGGAACTCTGCTCTGCCTGGSATCCTCCTGCTTGCCTGGCCATAAATCTCTGAGGAGCTGCCCAGCAGACTGACTTCAATTTCCAGATCACRAGGCACATTTGACCTTGGAGCACTAAGTTGAATCCTGTGATTTTAATCTGTATTTGGGAAATTTAATAATCTACTCAGTAATCTTGTGAAATGGAGCTGGTCCAGATCTGTGGAGTGGGAGTTATGAATATGGAAAACAAATGTCTAGCACAGTGCTGGGATAGGGTTTTCCTAAAAGCAGCTCTTCTAAAGACAGCCAGAACCAGCAGCCAACAAATTATTCAGAAATAAAATTCTGATTTCATGTCTGGGTCTTTCAGGGGGGACCATTCCAAAGTGCTGCCAAATGAAGTGTCTTTCAGTCAATGAAGACCATGAGTCAAGACAGAGAAGCAGACAGAAAATAAATCCCATATAAGACAAGAGGTCATTTTTTTCTGAACAGAACATGAGTCAAAATTGACAAGAAATAAATTATAACCCGAGTTGTTCTAAACATGCTGTTACTGCATCTTTCTCTTTAAAAGAMTGGTATTTTCCTCATAAAAATAGTGTGTAATTTCCCTTTGCGTCCATGGACGTTTATTTCCCAAACAAGTAAAATCAGTCATGGCTACGTCCGTGTAGTATTTGGCTAAAATGAACGGCGGGTGGAGGCCGGAGCAGGATTCCTTGTCTTGGGAGCGCGGCATCCTCTAGTGGGCGATTTCGGGAATTCGGGGAGCCCGSTTCTCAACTGGCTGAAGGAATGGCCCCCCTGCGCATCTGCGTGTACCTCTCCAAGGAGAAAATGTTAAACTTTGGATGGGAGCAGCTAAAAAAAAGGCATAATCTGATTAAATAGACTCAATTGCTGCTTGTAGGACTGTTTGTCTGAAATATCTTCAAGAGTAGGGGTGTAATATTTTAAATGAATAGCTGGGTAAGCTGAAATATGGTAAAATATGGTAAATGCCGGCTTAGCAAGATTCTGTGACAAATTATGCACTCTGTGTGATATTTTCTAATTATTATTTGTATTATAATGAAAGCTACYGAAAATTATCTGCAGTATTATTAAATATGATTTATTAATGGTAGGATAGATTAACGATAGGAATCAATGGGAGCCTTCTTATTAGGAATGATGAGTTTTGACTGTGGTCTGTATACACACATAATCAATTCTACATTTTGGCTCTGTTACCATCAGTTTGGGTGGTGACATGAGATCAAACCTGTACAAGAAAGCTGTGACAGCATAATAATGATACCAAGGCTGCAATTCTCTTTATTTATTGCAGCATTTCAGTGCATGTTGCCCTTCAGAGAGCTGAAACTYAACAAAAACTTGTGGATAATATAAATTAATCTCCTTCGAGTATGTTTGCTTATAGAACTGTTTAGTTACATGAGCAGACCTGTGTTGACCTGCTTGTAGACTGGAGATAGACATCAAGGGCATTCTTACTCTCTTGYATTAGGTAATCTTCTTTTGGGTTTCCTGTGCCAAAACTGAATGTTGCCATCTAAACTAAACAAGGTTTTTCTTCCCCTTCCATGATCATTTGAAGTACTTGAAATATTTACTGTTTTTACAATTTGATTGTTATTCTTTCTCTGTTTCACCTTCTCAGAAACACAATTTATATTAACAGTTACACTTATCATGTCAGCAGGAATTTGATGCCGCTGGTCTTTAACAGATTCTTTAACGATTCTTTTTAGCTGATGGAAAATGCAGTTTATACGTTTGAGCAGTTGTTCTCTCCRAGCCACCAGGCAGACTCGGCCAAAGTCGCAACCACCATTGAAAAGGTCAAGCTGAGAGTGCTGAAGGTAAATGTCATGTAACATGTTTGCAGGTTGCCTTTCTGGAAACAAAGAATATATTTTATATAAATCTATCTCAGTATTTGAAAGGAGACAGCTTTTACCATCTGGCTGAAAATACTGATTTGGTGGCACTTAGCAAAGCTGCTCATTTGGGGAATAAAGCCTAGTTCTGGGCAGACATTTATAGAAGTATTTGCAWGTGCAGTGCCTTTAATTGAAATTAAATCAGCTTACTAGTATACTGTCGATCTGGATAAATAATTTTTAATTAACTTTATAATTAGCCTGCCCCTGGGATTCRTTAGAAAAGGCAGCACTGAAACGCCTGGGGAGGGCAGTCAGGGGCTGTTTCTACCCTAAGAGTTAAGAGAAGGGAAAGAGATGCCAGAGCAGCAGGTTTTAGGCTGGGTTTGTAAAAGCTGGAATAACTTGCATGGCCATTGGAAGCGCTGTGCCCTGTGATGCAGCAGCTGCAGGCTGACAGGAGCCAGTTCCCTGTGTGAGAGGTGAATAACTCCAGCACATGTGGGCTCATTTCCTCCCTCTGTTTTGGCAGCAATACGACTATGACAGCAGCACCATCCGCAAGCAGATATTCCAGGAGGCACTGGTGCAGATCACCTTGCCCACCATGCAGAAGACACTGGCTTCCACGTGCAAACCAGTAGGTGTCTGGGACTAAAAACCCAAAAATCCAAAAATGAGAGGCAGGGGAGGAACACTGCCTTGGCAGTAAGCCCTTAACACTGGCAGGCTGTTTTCTCTCAGAGAGTTATGCAGATTTCCTGCCTGCTCCGTGCTTGGATTTGCCACTTCACAGGTTGGGTACTGTGGGGCCCGAGGAAGTTTTCAGGAAGCRGGCACACTGTACATACACGTTGCTWTCTCAAAGGCAGCTGCAGTCCTTTGCCCATCCCTGGTTCATTCCTTCTCTAGAGATCTGAACTCTCTGRAACTGGGTTCCTCTGGGATGCAGGGATGAGCTGGGCCTCGTGCTCATTCCTGTGCAGCAGCTCCCAGAGGCACGGCCAGGACCAAGCACAGCCTGTGCTGAACTCCTGCAGCAAGAGGTGGCCATGCCTTGCTGTCAGTGGTGTTCAGTGGGAGCGTTGCACAACAGTCAGGGAATAATCACAGAGACATCTCTGCTGCCCTGATCACAGGGCATGTTCAGTCAGCAAACACAGCATTGGTGGAAACGTTGTGTGTTATCCCTGTGGCTGCAGCAGGGCTGGTTGGAATGCTGTTCACCTGGGCTCACAATGAATAGTCTGAACCCTCTGAAGCCCTGAGTTCCCTCCTGCCTTGTGCTGTGCCTGCTGAAAGGAGACTGGTCCAAGCCATCCCAGCCTCCTGCCCTTCTGGTTCYATGGATGTTCATCCATGCCCAGAGTGCTGCTCTTGGTTATGCTCTCAGCTTGTTTCAGTTTCAAAAACAAGTTTTAAACCAAGTGTTTTGCCAAATTACACTTGCAAGTCTTTGAATGTGGACTGTTAAAATTTACAGCTTTCAAGAAAATATATTTTAAATCAGTCTTTTCTTTATGTCACTCTCCTTTCCTTGGGATGCTGAAGTAACAGTCTCTTGTAGAGYGTCAGCAGTGCCTTCCACACAGGGTCTGTGCACAGGAACAAGCATTTCAACACTTGGAATATGTGTGGRGACACCTCATGTCTGTCACAGAGGAAGCAGTGATGGAGCAAACTTCCACAAGCCCTTCCTGCTTAGTTTCCCCCAAGCCCTTTGTATTTGTGCCTCTGCAGAAATGAGTAGTCAGCTCTAGAAGCCAAAGTGTGGCACAGCTGACAGGCCCAGYCTGTCACCTGACCTTTCACTTGAAAGCCTCCAGGTGTTTTTATGTAGGAACCTTTTCTAGAAGTGGGCAGAGGTCACTTAATTTACTTTTTATAGACCACCAAGCAGCTACTCAATGCTAATGATTCAGTTATTGTGTAGACATCCGGCTGGGTACAAATCAGTGAGCTCAAAGAGTTACACACCTCTTAGGAAAACAAAACCAAACCCCGTGTCTCCCGTGCTCTGCGGATTTGCCTCCTTGGACAAACAGGTTGTGAGGCATTTCCTCAGCAGCTGTTGGTTTCAGTAGGCAGTGATCTGTCGTGCTTTTAGCTGTGGCTGTTCTGCAGGAGCTCTGTTTGGTAAGTACATAATTCATTGTGGACACATGTAGCTCATTGAGTCATAGTTCAAACAGGGCACCCCAGGAGCTGTCATGGGCTGTTGCAAGACCTGCTCCATGGCATCTTCAAGCTCTCTGGCTGCAGTAGGACTCTCAGAATTGCTGTTTTCTCGATCTGTTCCTCTCTTCCCTACTGCACAGGAGCTGCAGAGATACGAGCAGTACATTTTTGCTGATTACACGAGTGTGATCCAAGTAGAGAACGTGTAYGAAGAGATTTTATATCAGACAGTGCTCGACGAGGCCCTGAAAGGTGAGAACCTTCTTGAGTGACAGAAATAACATTGCAGCCTGTGGCCCATGATCTGTTCCTTCAGAGCYTCCCAGAGTCCTCACCTGGCTGTTCCCAACCAAGGTCCCACTTTGCCCAGCACTGGTGGTTACATCCCTACAGTGTTTTTTCATCTGGCTCACTGAAGATGTGCTGCAAGYCCTAAAGTCTGAGCTATGGGGCAGCTTCACTAAGGTTGTGGAACTCAGAGTGACGGCTTGGCACAGGCCTTTTTCTAACAAAATGTAATTATGCCAACTTTACTTGATCTTGATTCCCTGAGCCAAGGAGGGAAATTCTGTCCTTATTTGCAAAGACTTGGTGATCACTAAATAACAGGTGCCAATTGCAAGACTAAGAGAATTGCAAAGACTGATAGCAGCAGAGATTGATTTCCCCAAATGAAACAAACTGCTGGATGCAGTCTCACTGATGCCACTATGCTACTCCTTGCAGATCTCTCTGCTTCTGTGTCAGAAAACTAAACTATTCTTAATAAATACAATATATATAGAAATACTTATAAAATACTCGTATCTCTCTGCATGCCTGTGTGTCTACACCCTGGATAAAAGACAAGATGTACTGCGCAGGATGTGCAGACCATAGGCACCCCTGTTCCAAAACAGCAATRTAATGATTGTAACCAGCACACTTCTTACTGCCATAATCAATGTCAAYCCTTCTGCACTGAAGCATTACCCTTGTGCACTGGGGATCCTCTGGTAGCATTCTGCCTCGGAAATGCTTAGGTCAATATTAAAGTGCCACTATTCAAAAAACAATATTCCCATCCCCAGAAAAGAAATGTGAACTAAAAGGAAGCTGAAAATGAACATGATTGTTGTCTTTAATATCAAAATGTGCAATACAAACTTGGGAAAGCACTGTACCTTCTTCCCTGTGCCTYTGTCAGCAGTTTGGCATTTCTGTTTTATTATTCAGTGATCAAAGAAGCCGCCGTTCTGAAGAAGCACAACCTGTTTGAGGATAACCTGAACGTGCCCTGTGAGAGTGTGTCCAGCCTGACAGAGCTGAGGACCCCGGCGGGGTCAGCACAGAGCACCCCAGCCAAGACACCCACTGCCCCTCGAGCCGAGAGCTCGGACACCGAGAGCCATGGGGACGAAACACTTGTCGCGACAGGGAAAATTGTCTGGGAGAAGGATGCTGAGGAGGGAAGGTCCCGAGACAAAGAGGCAAGTGCTTCTGTTGGTGCAGCTGGTGATCAGGCCAGCAGGAGGGAAGTGGTGGCTGTTACAGACATYAGTGACAAACACGAGTCCCCTTCGGCTGGCTGCACTGAACAAGGAGCTGCAGAGGGGAAAAGCACATTGGAGAATGAATCAGGGCATGTAGTGAACGCTGAGAGAGAACTCGAGGCACAGCAAGAAGCTGGGGAGGAGAAAGTGGCTTCTGGGACTGACACTRCAGTAAAGAATTTTGGAGCCAGCCCTAAAAAAGAACCTAAAGTACCTGAAGGAGCAGCAGAGGAAAAGGTGACTTCAGAGRGTCAAATGGCAACAGCTGCTGCATCTGTCAGCAGCACTGAGAAMGAAAGCAAAGCACAGGAAGAAGTTYCTGAGATAAAGSTCRCTTCCCCACCTGAGAGTGTAACAGATGCAGAGATTTTAGGGAGTGCAGAAAAGACAAGCAAGGTAGAACATGAAATTATGGGAAAATTATCTCACAGTGAAAATGCAGTAGGAACAGAGTTTGAAGGGGATAGTAAAAAAGAAAGCAGTGAGAGTACTGAGRCAAAGATTATTTTACTGGATGAAAAGACAGAGAAAGCAGGGCTTGGGGATAGCCCTGGAAAAGAAAGCCAGTCGGAAGAAAATAGTTGTAAATGCCCCGATGATGTGAATGAGATAAGGAGCTTGCTGATGCTGACAGTTGAGATCCCAGCAGACACTCCAGCTGARAATATCCAGGAGGTCTGCAAGGGCRAGCTGCTGAAGCTGCGGGAGCACCAGAATGGCAACTATGAGTTGAGCGAAGTGGCTGTGGCAGAAATTCAGGTGAGCCAGGCAGGGAGGAGTGAAGATGCAGCAGAACGTGTGGAGTTCAAGGAGGAGCCACCAGCCTTTGCCAGTCCGGGGAGAGATGGGCTGAGTGTAGAGAGCGTACCCAGAGGGGCACAAGCATCGTGGCTGGTGGAGAACTCGGATTCACCTCAGGGGGCAAAGGCAGAGGTGGAGAGCAAGCAAAGCGTGTGGTACACGGGCGTGGAGAGTGAGAGGTGGCAGCCAGAGGAACGCACGGGAAATGCGGTGGCAGGCAGCAGGCTGGAGGGGGAGGAAGGAGCGGATCAGAGCCATGCGGTCCCGGGGGAGGCAGGCACACAGAGCTCCCTCCYGAGCCCYGSCGCAGATGCAGGCACAGGGAACGTGCCCATCCTGGATAGCGCGAATCCCGGGCCGGGACTGCTGGAGCCGGTGTCCCTGGTGCCGCAGCAGCGCCAGGGGCAGCGCCCGGCACAGGGCACGGCACACGGGGAGCSTGCAGAGGGGCAGCCCGGAGAGCAGGCAGCTTCACCCACAGCGATCCACAGTGCAGCAGGAACGCACTTGCTGCCGGAAGAGCACAGACAAGTTGGCTCTGCACAGCAAAACTCGGAGGAGTAAGAAGCAGCTTTCAGCGCAGCCCTGCATGATCGGCTAATCCCTAACTGTGAATCCTTACCCGGGTCGGGGCTTTGTGGTGGTGTCTCCAGCTCCCGCAGGTTTCCCGCGGATCCCTTCCTGAGGGATGGGTGATGGGTTTCCTTTTGGTTAAAACCAGCTTACTGCTGAGGAATCTCGTCTGYCACTTCAAATGGGTTCCCCTTCAAAGCTAGAGGAAAAGTGACCACTGAATGCTTYAAACACCCAACTGTCAAATTATCTTAACAACTGTTCTTAGGGGTGTTTTTTAAATGCATGGTTTGGACAAGTACTGCTGTGATTCTGGTGGTTGGTACATATATAGTCCAGGATGCTTTTAGTATTTGCATGCAGTATACAGGAAATAAAAACATTTTTTAGTAGTAAACAGAACCAAATAGTTGATTTAGTAGATTGCTGAAAAGCCACACTGTGCAAACCCTGCAAACTGATTACTTAATTATTTCTAGGTTTTGGCAGGTATCAAAGACAAGCAAATATTCTGATTTGTAACTTTTTTTTTTTCTCTTATTGCTATATTTTAAAAGGGGAAAGTATGGGAGCAGGTTTCTCAGTCCCACTCTGCACTTCGGGGKTATTTAGTCTTCCAGAGCACTTTATGGCTATTTTATTTTGTTTTATTTTATGGAAGGGAGAGATGAGAATGTTTACAATAATTATAACCATTAGGCAGCCTTTCTCTGGTTAAAATCCCTACCACAAAAYAGATTTACCTACAGCTATCTAACACAGAATACTGAGTCCTGCCATTCCCATTCCCACTGAGTTGCCCAGTTCTGTAGGCCTTTTTAGGAGTGGAAATCATGTAAGAAGTGGCAATAATTGTGAAATATCAGAATCATTGCATGTAATTCCTAATGCAGATGTTAACTGAAGTGACAGGCAGCCAAAGGTTGGTTATTACATCTGGTTGGATTTTTGAGGCCAGAATCACCTTACAAAAGCAGCTATGAAAATGAGACGGTTGATAGATATGATCTGTATCAAGGCATGATCTCAGTACAGGGGTGTTCTTTGTTAAGAACAACTTAAATGTGTTCTTTGCATCTCAGTTTGCATTGGAAAGCTTGGAATGAACCCCAGTATTTCAGTAAATCGGCCTTCTGAGTGCAAGACCTCACTTCAGAGGTCAGTTTAAGGCATCTCAAAATTGTGGCCAGGTGTTTTGAGCCTGTTGCTGAATGTCACACAGTAAAGGACAGCAAAGATTAATGATAATTGCAGCAAAGACTGCAGGATTTATGCCCATAAAGACATGGGGAGAAATAACAAAGTCCCGGGAGCATAATACGTGCTGGCATTTAACTTCAGCAAACTGTGCAAAGTCTTTTAATGCTATCAAAATATTCTTTAATACTAACACAGAATTGACACTAGAGGAACAGGCAAATATTACTGTATGAGGAAGGAACCTTGTTGAGTAACTGGATTAACTGCCCTGTCACTGCTGTAAAATAAATKCAGTTCCTATTGATTCTAGAAGCTGTACTGTGGTATGGAGAGGTGAAAGTCACAGATGTTTTCCTTGCAGAATTAGTTCGACTCGCTTCCRCCTTATATTTCATGCAAAAATACTTTTTTGTAAACATACAGACCACTGCCAGCTTGGTTTATTTTTTTTTACAAAACATTGGTTATTTCACTGTCAGCTGCTTCAGTTTTAAAAATCATTAACCACTTTAAATTGGTACTGAGTGTTAAGTGACTTCAAATTTAGAGTTAAGCAGCAGCAGCAGCAGCCTTTTTTAGCTAAAATTATGGGACATGATGGGTTTTTAACATTTTTTGTGTGTGAAAGACAACTAGCATGGCAGCAAAAAACTGCAGCCTCCTGCAAAAGGAAACAAATTCGTTGCAGCATGAATTAGACACATCAGTACAGAGAGCATTTTGCATAAGTATTCCCATCATGGTAATTTTGGAGTTATTTCTGTGGCAGGCTTGGATCTGGGTAATATTTTCCTGTAATATGAGTTAYGTTGCTGAATGCAGATGCTCAGATGTTTTTCACAAGTGGGGTAGGAAAGGATGGTGAAGACTCAGCATGTACATTGCTTGGTTCTGCCGTTTAAATTGCAGTTCCTTGTGACCAGGGGACTGCTTTTTCCCCAGTTTTGGGCATTTTCTGTCTGATTGTGAATGCATAAAACATTTTTCTTGTCTTTGCCACACTTGGTTGGAAGCGACAGCTYGGTTAGATCAGCAATCTGCAAAGTTACGTGAGACCTCTGATCGAAACTAATGCTCACAATTCTGTCGTTTTTGTTGCTTTCTTGTCCTTCACAAGCTGGGAATTGCAAGAAATCCCCCCCAGGGCCGAGGGTCGGGTGCCCTCCGGGAGCGGGCCGGGCCGTGGAGTTCCATGGGGTTTCCACTCTTAAAGGCCAGGACATGAAATACATCCTATTTGCTTGGAACTGTGTACAAACGCTCGTTACGGAAATAAAGACTCTCTTCCCTTCCRTTGCTGGCAGGCTGCTTTCGTGCGATAATTTGGGGGTTTATTACAGAAATGCTCTCCGGACAGACAGCAGTTATGGAGGTGTTCCGCCCTGAGAGGGGCCTGAGGGCAACACGGAGAGGGAGATTTTAGAGGAGCATGGACTGACAGGGTGAGGGGGAAAGGGTTGAACGTGAGTGTCAGATTGAGTATTCAGGAGGAAGTTCTTCCCCGGGAATGGGGAAGAGGCCCTGGCACCGGGTCCCCGGAGAAGCCGTGGCTGTCCCCAGATCCCGAGTCCGAGGCCAGGCTGGACAGGGCTCTGAAGGTGTCGGTGACCGGGTGATCTCCGCGGTCCCTTCCATTCGGAGCCATTCCGTGATTTCCCCACGCTCCCCGCTCGGGCTCGCTCGGAGCCGCCTCGGGCAGTGCCGGAGGAGCGCGGGGGGCGGGGCAGTGCGGGGGGCGGGGCAGTGCGGGGGGGGCGGGGCAGTGCGCGGCGCGGGGCACGCCGGGAGCCGGGGCGCGGGGCACGCCGGGAGCCGTGGTCCCCGTTCCCTTTGTCCACGTCGACCCTCTCGTTCCGCCGTCCCTGCCGGCGCACGTGACCCCCGCGCCGCGCTTCCCCATTGGCCCGGCGGCGCGTGCCGGGGGGCGGTGCCGGAAGTGGCGGCGGCGCGAGCCCGTTTCCTTGGCTACGCCCCCGCGGGCGCGCGCGGAGGGGCCGGGCCGGGCCCTTCCTGCGCCGGGAGCCGCGGGAGCGGGAGCGGCCATGGGCCCGCAGCGGGACTAGCGGGCACCCGGCCGGCCGCTATGGCCCTCAGCGGAGCTCCGGGCTGCCGCGCCGGGGACCGGGGGCCCCGCTGGAGGAGGCCCTGGAAGCTCCTGGCCCTTGGCCTGCTCTCCGCCTCCTCCGTGCTGGCGGCCGCCCCGGGCGCCGGGGCCATGAGCAGGGAGGAGAAGCGCCGGCTGGGGTGAGCGCAGGGATTTCAGGAGGGAGGGAGGGAAGGACGGCGGGTCGGGCCGGGCCGCACCGCGCTGGGCAGGGGGTGTGCGCTGCCCCGGGGATCGGGCTGGGCTGGGCGGGTGCCGGCGCAGAGCCCCGGGAGCGCGGCCCCTGTCCCTCCCTGGCTCCCGAACACTCCCGGGGACGCGTGGCCTCGGTGCCCAGCCGTGCTGAGGCTGCGTGTGCCGGACCCCGGCGGGTGTTTGGGCTGGGTCACCCGGCTGTCGGGGACACGCGGTCCCTTTTCTGCTGTGGGGTCAGGCCATTTGCTGTCTGAACTCGGAACTCGCCAGTGCTTGCGGGCGCGTCTGGGAGGCTTCGGCCAGGGCTTGCCTGSAGTTAGGGGTAAAAGTGATCAAAGGTACTTCTAAATCCACACTCAGTTGGTTTAATGATGGCCATGCCTCCGTGGGAGTGCATAAAAAAGGTAAATGTTTACGTGTGTTCCTGCCTGGTTCTTGCATGTAACCTAAACTGCTTTGRTTCTCCGTGCGTGTACATTTAAGAGGCTGATTCTCTTTTAGTGTCGTTTTTAGTTGAAGGATAAATATAACACTATAGTTGGAAATACATTTTCCTGCATGGAGTGGGATTTTTTAAACCAAATTTGCAATCAAGAGTAATTTATCCTAGTATGGTATTGGGGCAGTTTCCTCTTCCCATCCACTGGTCAGTTGTACAGAATAATGGTGCAAAAAGTCTGSCGGAGAAACAGTCTGGGTATTCTCATAGTTATTAATCACGGAGTTGGTAAGGTTGGAAAAGGCCTCCAAGATCGTCGACTCCAACCATCAGTATAAGTTGATATTTAACTCCAGTGTTTACCGTTACTGGGGTTTTCCATCTCGGGTTCTCAGGGTACGTGGTGTGTGTAATATTTTATACTTTCTCTTCGTGAAGCTGTACAAAGAGTTTAAATTTCATCCCCCGGTTGATTTTAAATTTTTTGCATCAATGATTTGCACTAAAAATATCAACTGATGCCCCAGGCATGTGCAAGCCATGTCCTGCCGTGGGTTGTGTTTGGGGGCACTGAGCTGGGTCACTTCTGAATAAGGTAATGTCTGTGTTTATTTAATGGCAGGGTCATGTCGGTCACAGAAAATGCCTGTAAATGTAAGTTTTAAGCAATTTTCTGTGTGCTTATCTGGGGTTTTCCCTGGAGCCGCCTGAGAGGTACCTGGGGAAAGCACCATCCTCWGCTCTTTTGGTAACTTAATGCACTTGATGAGTTGAAACTGCTTGTTAAATTTCCAAGTCATTGGACTAAATTGGATATTTGCAATATAATTGTGGTACTCTTGGCTCTTTTATGTTTGGTCTTATCAGCTGAGAGGGTGAATTATGTTGATGGTAGAAATTAGCATCCTTTTTTGCTTGCAAGGGTCCTTAGTGAAACAGTTAGGAATGATCAGAAGTAGTGCTGTCACAAAAAACCCCACTTTTTTTAGGGGGGTGGGGGTTATTTATAGAAGCATTTTTGTCCTTGATTGCTTTTCAAACATGTGAAATAAATGTAAGGTTTTTTCTTTAGTATTTGCTTGCCTAGAGATCCCCAAATAATTTCATGTTTGGTGAAGAAAGAGTATTTCCTTTCTGGAGTGGACAAGAGTAGGTGAATCAAGAAAAATTACTCTTCTGTATTTCATTTACTTGGTTATGTAGAGGACCTGTGCCTGATATTCAGATATTAAAGTGTGATACGTGTAAGGTGGTGTGTTGAAGGTTGTTGGGAGACACCACTAATGCTTCTTTTTTTCCTCTTTTTCAGAAATCAAGTGCTTGAAATGTTTGATCATGCATATAGCAATTATATGGTAAGTCAGATATTTGTTTGATGTTTTGTGGAGGGGTTGTTGCTGACCTGGGTGAGAAAGCAACCTACAGTACATGACATTCTAGAGAAATATCCAGGAAGGAGRGGTGAAAACAGCTGAAATAAATAGCTGCACCTGGGATGCCTTTAGAAAGGCAATAAAAAATAATACTTTCAGGAAGGGCAGTGTCAGGAGGGTTGTGATGGCTTTTAGAGTGGTAACTCAGAATTGCTTGTRGTAACTCTCCTAATCCATGCCTAATCTTTCCCAAACCAGTTTACCTCACATCAGGCTATGAACAGTGAAGTATTTGGTTTGGAATTCCAGGGGAAGGAAGCTCAGGAAGAGCTGTCTGTGGTCATCAGATTTTGGGGAACACAAATTAAATTTTGTAGGTAAAAATGCCATGTGGTATTCTTTCAGTGGTGAGCCATGTCAGATGCAGACCAGGGGCTCTTCTCCAAGTAGTGTTGGTAGAACAGAAAGGGGATCTGGTGCAATATCCAGGCGTTCCAGGCTGTGCCCAGGATGTGACTGTCATATGACCATGGGCACGCTGGCTGGGGTTTCTTTTGCTCTGACTGTGATTCCTGTGCAGGTGTCTGAACCAGGCKCTGGTTCTCTGAGCCATTCCACCCACCCCGGGATGGCTTGGCTTAGAAAAGCTTAAGAATAATTATTTGAAGTCCACTTCCTCAAATAATAATTACATTCAAAAAAATTTATAATACACTTGTGAAGAGAAACTGTAGATGTGACTAAGAGAAATATGAAAGATTAATTCTTACTGGCTTTATATCGACATTGTTGCACATTCTTTGTGGCTGTTGCAGAAACCCCTCTCAAGTTGCATCAGTTCCTGCAGCACAACTGCTGTCTTTGGGCAGCATCTGCCACGTGTCCCAGGTTCTGTGTTAAGGTTTAAAGTTTAATATGTAATACAAGCTTAAAATCTCAGGAATTACAGCCTTGTACTGCATGGGAGAGGTACAGGACTATGGAGCGGACAGAAAGCCAAGCAAGAGGATTTTCAAAAGGCTGTAGTTTCTCCTTTTAACTTAAGCTCTGTACATCTGACATCTTAGCAGTTAAACATCAGGCCTTTTGGTAGTAATTTTTGTAATCTGATTCCATGAAAAACACTTGGCTTGGGTTTCCCCAGAGGAAAACGTACATATTTGGCAAAATAGGATAAAATACTACAAGCATCTGTGCTCCTACTGTTCATTGTGTGATAAATTGGCAACTGGTAGGGGGTCTTGCCACATCCGAAGCAAGAAAATTCTGTTTGAAGGAGAGGAATAACTTCAGCTAACCTGGAAACTTTGAAGCCAAGAGGATATTTATTTGCCACGTATGCTGGAGCACTAAACAAACAGAGAAATGTGGCTTGCTTGTTTAAAGTTGAAGGAAAGATTAGAGTRTCAGACTCGATTCCTACAGCTGAAGAATGAAGTACTTTTGCAGGTGCTTTTGAAACAGCCAGCTGAAAAGTTTTGATTTTCTGTTTCTATTAATACGTATTTTAGACATGCTTATTTAGAAGACTGAAAATTCATGTTTGGTTGCAAGGGAAACTCCCTTGTCATTTTTTTTCTTTTTAGTTGTTAACAGAAGCTTTGAGAAAAAGTTGCTGTTTTTTTCAGTACTTGAACAATATTTGTAATAATGGGGTTATTTTTCTTCTTGGCTGTCAGAAAGAACATGTGAAAATGTCAGTCACTTGAGGCCAGTGTCAAGTTGGGAAATAACTCAATCCAGTAGCTGCTTATTTGCTGCTGTAGSCAAAGTGAACTTTTATTTTTCAGAATGCTTCTAGTTCTTTATTTGTAAAACTAAAAGTTTATTTTTCCAGATTCCTTATCACTTCTCTTTTCCAAAATTTAAGCCAGAGATYGCAGTTTTGACATTGCTTTTGTAGTGTACTTCTTTAATCTGTTTTACTGAATACTTTGTGGGGATTTTCAGAAACATCTGAGCTGTATTAAAGTGATCTAGATTCTGCCTTTTGTCGTTAAACTCGAGGAGAACAAAGAGTTGAGCAAAGACCAAAACACTCAGGAGGGTGGTATACAGGGAAACAAACCATCAGTTTCAAAAGAAGTTGCAGTAAGAGCTGTTTATTTATAGAGGAATGTTCCGTTTTTCCTCTTTATTTCATGTTTGAATATAGATTATTTTTGTACCATATATTTGGAAAGACTTTGAATGTGTTTATTTGCAGTTTCAGTGCATCAGTTGAAGTTTTTYATCCTGCCACATGTTAGTTCTCCACTGAAAGTCAAACTGGTGAGGTCAGGACAGCAGCCAGTTTCCTGGTGAAATCGAGCGAGAAGGTCCATCCCAAACCACTTGTGTTGGGCTTCTGAGGGAGGCASTTTCATGTTTGTTGGAATTAGATGCATTTAAGATTCATCATTATTGATGTCAGTGTTCCATTTGTTCTATTATTGTCAGTTATATTTGTAAAAGGGTCAGTCTTGTTAGGGTGKTTTTGGTGAGTGCTTTTGTTTTGCTATGCCTTATGTAGTAATTCACCAATTTCTTGTTTGAACTCCTGAGTTCTCTTGGTTGTCACTGACTGTCACCCTCAGTCACCTGAGTTCATAATGCAGAGTCCAGTGAAGGGCCAGAARGGTGATTGAGAGGTTGGAGCATCTTTCCTGGAAAGAARGGCTGAGGGAGCTGAGGCTGCTCAGCCTGGAACAGAGAGGCTCCAGGGAATTTAACAAGSAAGGCTGTCAAGAAGACAGAGCCAGGCTCTTCACAGTGGTGCTGGGAGGAAATGGGTACAAACCCAACCATGGGAGGTTCCTTTGAACATCAGGAAACACTTYTTTCCCTGTGGAGTTGAGCATGTACTGACACAGGGTGCCCAGAGAGGCCGTGGGTCTCTTTGGAGGTGCTCAGGAGTTGACTGGTCATGGTACTGGGCAGTTGGGTGTGGATGACTCTGGCAGTCCCTTCCCACCTGCAGTGTTTGTGAAGAGCAGCACGATGAGGATTCTTTTTACAGCAAGAATCCCTGAGAGTGGCTGTACCACCATAACCATTGCTGTTTTGTTCCCAACAGGAGCATGCATACCCAGCTGATGAACTCATGCCTTTAACTTGTCGTGGACGAGTGCGGGGTCAGGAGCCAAGCCGAGGGGATGTGGACGATGCCTTGGGAAAGTTAGTGTCTCAAATGATCTCTGTGAATGTCTGCTAATAGAAGYACAATTGGCAGCCCATAAAACCTGTCTGTTCAGTTGGCATGGGCAGAAACTTGTGCTTTGGGGAGAAGTGTTTTTAATGTTATATAGTTAACTTAGGTGAAATTGTACCTTAATCAGAAGAAGGAAATTGACCAGTGAATGAGATCCAAAGATAATTTTTTTAACCATTCTCTAAGGATTTTCCTTAGGAAAACCTTCCAAATGTGAGCTGACTTTTATGGGATTAGTAGTAGAGGTTATAAGGTTTAATGATCAGGTGAACAGAACAATAAACTCTTATCCATGATGCTGGCTTAATAATGATATYTAAGATGCTTTTTTTTAAGTAGAAAGTTTTCTGAAAGCAAGTGGTCAAATGATTATCATGTGTGTGGTAGCCTGAGGCCTTTGCCAAAGTATAAAACATTATGGAAATATTTGCTATTCCTTCTTTTAAGGGAGCTGATAGTACAAAGTACTAATCCTTTGGCCAGCAAAATGTAGATTTAAGGACTGTTTTTCTCCATATTAAATGGAGTAATCAAAGGCAAAGTTTACTTATTCGAAATGCATTTGTAATTGATGCCTTTGAATATGTGCAGTTTATAGAGCAAATTCTTTACTAATAAGTAGCTGAATTTTTTATGAATTGGTATCACTGTTTAATGTCTCCAAGCACAGTAGTGTTAAACAAAGCTGAAGTCCTCTTAAATACTGCTTCTATTTGTCTCTAGGATATTGAGCATGTTTTGTTGGTTATGTTTTGTTATATACAAATTTCTTCAGTCTAGAAATTTCCATATACACCTGCTGCCTTGAAGATATCTAAAGATACAACGCATGAAAAGTGGCAAGAAAATATAATTTTAATTCTGGTCATGCATTCTTTTTATGACCTTTTTACATAATAACATACTAGCATTTGAGTGAAAATACATTTCAGCCCTTCAATGCATTAAATTATTGTATGTATTTATTGCTTTTCTATATACATGCTTTACTCTGTACCTTATAGTTAACTGCATTATTATGGACCAGATTTCTTATCTAATCTGTTTCTTGCCAGCTGCCTCATCAGTCGTGCTCTCTGCCAGCCTTTGCTGTCACAAAAGGACAGGGTGAGGCAGCTGGGTCAGCTCTGTTTCCCTGGAGAGCTCAGGAGCCTTCCATRTAGCTGTGAAATGCATAATTTCCCTCCTTTTGTATGGAAAAGGTGGTGGATTTGTTAAGCAGTTGTGCACAGCCATTAGTTAATCTGTGTCCTGTAAAACAGCACTCACAGAATGCCATTATGTCTTTACAAATTGAAAAGGATTATGATATAGGAACACTTAATTAGAATTTTGATTGTCATGTTGCCTGCAAGGTCTCAGGCACTGGGCACTTGCTGAAATCCTTGGTGCTTGMTCTTCAGGAGGCAATTTAACTGTTCCAAAGTGTTTCCTTTTAACACCATCATGTTCTGTAAATTCTGTCCTGTGTGGGRAGGGTGTTTCTTGGCATAGGAACAGTTGTTGGAATTAGGTATCTTTAAGACACAATTCTGGATATAATTCTTGGGATGGGGAAAGGTCCCCTCAGCTTGGAATGCACCAGACCAACCCTGGAGAACATCTCTGAGCCTCGCTGGATGTTCCCATTTCAAACAGCATGGAGCTGACTTGATGCTCTSTTTTCATGGAATAATCATAGAAACCCAAACTGGTTTGGGTTGGAAGGGACCTTAAATCCCATCCAGTCCCACCCCTTCCGCCAGCAGCATCCAACCTGGCCTTGGACACTGCTAAAATAGTTCTTCATTTAAGAGTCAATAAAGYAGTTCTTTGTTTTAAGCCTACCACTTGCTAGTGTTGGAACAGTTTTGGGTAGGAGAAATTTAGCTTGGAATGACTTTTGATCTCAGCATTCTTCCTTTTTTTGTAAAAACAATTTAAACAGAGGGTGGGAAAAGACTGTTTTGCTGGGTTTCTTAAAGGACTTGATTGGATTCAAGGAATAAAAATTAAATTTGCTTGCCAGAAGTTAGAAAGCTTTGCWGTAAATAAATGTATTTGTAATTACAGCTTCTTTGTCAGCTCCTATTCTGGTCACTGGTAAAGGGAGGAAACTTAGAAGGGGGTTTTGGTATTAAATGTATTGAGTACAACTAGAAGTGGGTTTTGGTATTAAATATATTGAGTACAACTAACTTTTTGCAGCTGCTSGTCTGTGAGAATTTTGTTTCTTCCATGGTATCAGTTACTATTAAAAATCACTTAATTCCTACAGGTACTGATCTGTAGTAAATGTGTTTTAAATTTTCTTTCACAGATTTTCACTGACCTTAATTGATACCTTGGACACTCTTGTGGTAAGTTTTATCTGTTGATAAGCTTTGGTAAAACAAAGAGATTGTCTTTTGATGCTCAGAGTTATTTTTAGATTTCTTTCTTGTGATCATTGATCTCTGGCTGTGTTTGAAGTGACTCTTGCTCATGGGAACTTCCAAGTTCTGTGAGGGTGGAGTTTGGAATTGGTTGTAATAAAAAAACTACAGCAGCTCCTTCACATTTCATTGATACTTTTTATCTTGCTCTTTTTGGGCTCTAACTTAACACAAAAGAGTGTGAGTTTGCTTTGTCTTACAGTCTAAAACAAGAGGCTGAGTTACTGGTGGGCACCTCTTGATACCACTGCTATATTTCTGGTTTTAAATTGTATGTATTTCGTGTGTGTATTTCACCCTTATTTCATGTGTGACTTCATGTGCACTGAAATATCCTGTGTACAAACACACTGTGACTGTGTTGGAACTGAACACCTCCTCGCATTTGTATTCCAGGTGTTAAATAAAACCAAAGAGTTTGAAGAGGCCGTAAAAAAAGTAATAAAGGATGTTAATTTAGATAATGACATAGTTGTATCCGTCTTTGAAACCAATATAAGAGTCCTTGGGTGAGTAACTTTCATTTTCAACTCCTAAAATGTGGGTTTTAGTCAGTGTCGTTTAGACACCTTTCTGTGCTGCTCCACATATTTGAAGCAGTTGTGCCTTTGTTGGTTTGCCTGCGAGAGRTTTTAAAATGCAAGGCAGGGCTTGCTGCAGTGGTGCTGGACCAGGCTGTCCCCATCTCACTGCTGCAGGCTCAGCTTTGCTGCTGGAGAGCCACATGGGCATGCTGAGGGAGCACTGGCTGTGCTTAGCTGTAGCAGGCTTGCAAATGGCTCTGCTCAGTCTGATTGAGCAGATTTTGGTACTTGGGGTCACGGATTATTTCAGCTTGTTAAGGGACCTCAGGGCTCAATGCAGGATCGGAKCATGTAATTTGAAGTTATTATATGCAGTTTCAGAGGTCTTGGTTGCTGTTCCTGTCTAATATTGATGAATCAACTATTCCAATGATAAACTGTAAGAATTGTTTCCAAAATACTGGTTTGTACTTGATTCTAACAGGAATTCCATCAGCAATCTAGAAACTAGGGCCAGTTATGTACGTGTCATCTAAATTGTAGAGAACTGTCCTTGCTGTTCAGATGAACATACCTTTTGAGATGTGCATCGTTTCTCTTGTGTTTAGAGGTCTCCTAGGTGGGCACTCAGTGGCAATTATGCTGAAAGAAAAAGGTGAATATATGCAGTGGTACAATGGTGAACTCCTGCACATGGCAAAGGAACTGGGCTACAAGCTTTTACCTGCTTTTAACACCACTAGTGGTCTCCCTTATCCACGAGTAAGTTCTGTTTCTGTAATGCAGGATTACAGCTGTAATCAAGGCTTCTGTTTTGGTTTTGTRTCTGTTTCCAAAGTCATTTCTGTATTTATTAAGTGGACAGAAAGTCAAAAGCTGATAAATTGCAGGTACTCTCAGGAGCCAGGAGTAGTGAGATATTTACAAAAYTAAATTTCCAGGAGCACTTGTGATATTCTGAATTCCTGATTTGTTGCTAAAAAAATTGCTGGAATTAGATTTTCAGGGTGTAGTCTCTTACTCAGATGTCTTGTGAGCCAGGTGCCTGTTTGGGAGGGTTGAGTATTTTGGGTGTTTGGGGATAGTTCTCTGTGCAYGTCTAAGTTGGCAGAGCAAGCCCAAAGGGATCTGTTTTTTCTTGTCTTTAGAAAGCACAGATTATATGCTTGCTATAAAATCACAGGAGTGGGAATTCTTTCAGCTGAAGGTGATAATCTCTGCTTTTCTCTAGGTTAATTTAAAATTTGGTGTAAGACATCCAGAAGCACGAACAGGAACAGAAACTGATACCTGTACAGCTTGTGCTGGTACMTTGATCCTTGAGTTTGCAGCTTTAAGCAGATTCACAGGCACATCTATATTTGAGGTTTGCTTTCCACATTACCTTTTTTTTGTCTTAGGTCTTTAGTGTTTTGTAATTTTGGAAGAACAATTTTGAGTTCATGTAATGGATGTGTGTCTTAGCTGCAGTGCAYAAAAACTTTTCAGATTTGTAGTGTTTGTGGGCTTTTTTTCTAAGATTTGGTTTTTTAGTTATGTGTTAAATCACAGTAAATAACTTTGAWTGATAGTAGAGTAATACAGAAGTAAACAAGATAAATATTCTGAAGTTGAGCTAAAGGAGTTCTGAAATGGTTARACATGAAACATCCTTTCCTAGCATCCTAATTGAAGCAGCCAGAAGAATCACAGAGTGCAGTGTCTGTGCTTCCCTGACTCCCTGCTGCTGTTGTTGCAGGAATATGCCCGGAAGGCACTGGATTTTATCTGGGAGAAGAGGCAGCGCAGCAGCAACTTAGTGGGGGTCACCATCAACATCCACACCGGAGACTGGGTCCGCAAAGGTGGGGGGTCTGGGGCAGGGGAAGCCTCAGCACACCCCAGCACTCTTCCTGGGGCTGTTTGTGAATATTAATGGGACAGGCAGGGGGAGAGACCTGCCATCCCAAAATCTGGCACTGCTCTGAAAGGGCAAAGCCCTCTCTGGGACAGAAAATGCAGAGTGTTCCCTGATCCTCTGACACTGAGAGGGAAACCTTGAGATAAATTTTGAGAGACTTTGCTATAAATACACAGGCAAAACATGAAAGGATGGGAGAAGGGATGTCCTGTGAGAAGAGTGAAATAACTGCATTCAGTGTGTGCCCACGTCGTGTGCACTGATAGCACAAACACACAGCCCTGTGTCTCTGCTTCCATCTGTGCCTTCATTCCACTGAACGGAGGCTTTGCCTTTTACTAGAAGAGCTTTTAAAATCAGAATGGGAAAATAGGGAAAATACCCMTATCACTGCTTAAAGTAAACCCACCTTTTCTTTTTCTCATGTTCCTAGACAGTGGAGTTGGAGCAGGAATAGATTCATACTATGAATATTTATTAAAAGCCTATGTCTTGCTGGGAGATGACAGTTTCCTGGAAAGATTTAACACGGTAAGTTAACACCTTGCTCAGGTTTGTGCTTTCTGCAGTACAAATTTCASAGTAATTGTATTGTCAGCTGTTAGCCCGAGAAGGGATCTTTTGCAGCATTTCTGTGACTTCTGCTGTGTTTAGTGCCAGCTCTTTTTGCTGAGGGTTTTTGCTAATCCTGGGTGATCAGCTGCCACCTGAGCAGTTATTTTAAACCATCCAATAAAAATCAGAACCTTATAGACCTTTCTCCATGTTCCCAGTATAGGAGAAGCTTATCTCCAGGGAGAGTGTAATACTGCAAATGCTTTTGTAAAAYAGGGTAAGGGCCTCATTTTACAAGCCATTGTACAATTTCCTTCTGTCTTGGAGCAACAAAAAAATCAAAGTGTGGATCTTGCTTTGCACTGCAGATCCTCAGGCCCAGGATACATTTAAGTATAGAAGCCGAAATCCACACTTAGACTCTTTAAAATTCATAAATTACTAAGCAACTTTGTCAGCATCATAATTCTTTCATAAAGCATTATTTCTTTTGAAAAGAGCAATATCCATTAAAACATTTTAGATCCCATTGCATGATATTTTTAGTAAGAGGGGAGCAATTAAATAGTTACAGGCCTGCTGTAACACTTKAGGTGTAATGATGATTTCATGTTGCTGAGGGGCAGCTCCCAAGGTTGTGTTTTGCTTAAGTTGCATCTCCTAAGTGTTTCCTGTCAGTTTGGGCCGTGTGCTCAGGATTGCACCTTCTGAAAACAAAGTTTAGGATTGGAAGTCAGCAARGTGGGTTTTAAACTTCTGAGCCATCCAGTCCAGCTGCCTTGTTTRGATTTTTTAACCTCCTTTTCCTCCTGAAATCCATTTGCTTTAGAATTCTGAATTTAGAATTCAATTTTAGAATTGTGCAGGGAAAGCAATTTCAACTTGGTTTAGAGAGTGCTTCAAAATTCAGCCAAAACCAATGTGCCTTAACTGTGCATGKTCCTGGTTTATCACATGGCTGTTGGATAGAGTTTTGTGTTTGTGTATTCTTTGGAAAGGTGATAAGTTTTGCAAGTGTAATGCTGTGGAGTTTTTTCAGTATTTACTACACTTGGTTTTTGCTTGCCAAAGTAGAAATTAGTGGCTCTGCCAAATGCGGTAATGATTGGGAGTGTGGTACTGACTCTGGCACAGAAATAAAATGCCAGTCTGGTGATCYATCTCCCTTTTGGGCAATGTACTGATCTACAAACTCCTGCTTTTCCTGATGTTTGGCAGCACTATGATGCTATAATGAGRTACATCAGCCAGCCACCTCTTCTCCTTGATGTTCACATTCACAAACCAATGCTGAATGCTCGGACCTGGATGGATTCCCTCCTAGCTTTCTTCCCTGGGTTGCAGGTAAGGGGTAAAACCCACGTGCAGATGGTTTTAATAACAAGGAGATGATTGRCTGGGTTGGATTTTCAAGTCAAGCTTAGTAATTTGATTTTCAGAAATACTGAGGCAAGATCCCTGTAAGTGTTCAAGGCYAGGCTGGACATTGGGGCTTGAAGCAACCTGGAGTAATGAAAGGTTTCCCTGCCCATYTTTAAGTCMCTTCTAAGCCAAACCATTCTGGGATTCCATGATTTCTGTACTCACTCTTCCAGTCACTCCAGTGCTGTCATACAAGTTAATGTGCTTTTTCTGGCCCTGTTGAGTACCAGGAAAAGTATGTCCATATAATTTGCTGCCTTCACTCCTAGTCATGGAAACACTCCAATTAAGCTGCCTTTTTTGTAGTCTAGCAACAGATTTTTTAGTTTGTGTGCCATTGACATCCTTAAGACAAGCTAAGCCATATTTTCACCCCAGTTCTCTGTAAATGTCAGAGTTCTTTGTTCTGCACAGGCAATAACTTAAATGAATTCACTGATTTTGCTTAAAAAAWTTTTAAGGACTATCTGTCTTACACTGAAAGGGTTTAATAATTACAGTATGTAGTGACTGGTCTGTAGCTTCACATGAGCACACCATGAGAGCTCTTAACTCTGAGTATTATTCCTATGCTCAGTGAATTAGTGTTAATTTTATTATTTAATTTCAGGTGCTGAAGGGTGATATTAGACCTGCTATTGAAACACATGAGATGCTGTATCAGGTTATAAAAAAGCATAACTTTCTTCCAGAGGTAAGGTGGTAGTTTTTTGATTGTGTAAACTGATTTTTACCTCCATTTGCACAGTCTCAGCTGCCCATTTGAAGAACCAGTAGGTATATGTGTTATTAAAATCAAGGCTCATTTCCACAGCATTCTTGTGTGATTTGAAGTTCTGCATGGCTGCCAGCTGCGTTTGGCATATGAAATCCTTTTCCTTCAGTTATGCTGTAATTAACACAATAATGGGAAGCTGCTRCTGTTAACAATTGCTGAGACTTCACCTTTCAGTCTTTGAGAGCAGATGTTGACTCATGTCAGTGTGCAGAACTTGTGTAATCACGTGTAATGGTAGCTGCTTGGTAACATAATAGTGTTAATGCTAAAGATCACAGTCATCTTCATTAACCCAGGGAGGGAACATAAATGCTGAATTGACKGAGAAATGTTCAGAAATTTTGTATAATGTCCTTGAAAGTCAGCACACAAACTTCCTGCAGACGCTGCAAGTCTTTGAGCAAGTCCATTGTGCACAGAAAAGCTTGTTTACCTGCTGAAGTCTGTGTCTTTCATCTGTAATGACACAGAATAGATTTGAAAGCTTCTGATTCCAGGTTTAATTTTGACTTTCCTCTGGTGTAAGCTTATTTCTGTTAGAGAACATTTTAATTAACATCACATTCACCTGATGTGGTTCATGAGAGCAAAGAATGCTCTCTAAGCACTGGAATAATTTTTTTTTTGAGTGCTTTTAAAATGGTATGATTTGGCTCTTTATGGGTTTTCTGTGTTGGTGTTCTGCTGCTTGGTACTTAGGAAGGAAACTTTAAAAAGCCAGGCAGTTTTATTTAAGCCAACAGACTATCCCCTAAGCAAAGAGTTGGTTATAACCTTAGCGTGAATCAGTAGTGAATACATGACCGAAGTGGCTTTTCCCAGTGCACACTAGGAGTGAACAGACAGACTAGGAAATTTTAAAGTATCTGACTTCTAGTCTGTGGTATTGTAGAAGCAGCTGCTGAACCATCTGTCAGTGGGCAGTGACACTTGACTGCACCGAAGGTGTCAGGTGGTAGCTATGTTTGTAAAAATGGTGTTTATCAAAGCTAGTTTGTTTATTTAGTTAACACAGAATTCAGAATAAATCTGTGCTTGGTTTGCATTTCTGTACTGATTTTTGTCTGTTCTGTTTCATCCTCAGGCATTCACAACAGACTTCAGAGTTCACTGGGCACAGCACCCTCTGAGGCCTGAATTTGCTGAAAGTACCTATTTCTTGTATAAGGTACAGTCATGGTCATTVCTCTGACCTTGGGGCCCTTTTCCCAGCACCTAGAATTCTGTTGCTGTTTTATTTCAATTTAGAGTTGAGCAGCACATCTCCAGCCTAATTTATCCACTGGATCCAGTTTAGGATATAAACAAGATGTARTGGTTATCAAAACCTGGTTTTATTTGACAGGCTACAGGAGACCCATACTACCTAGAAGTAGGAAAAACCCTCATTGAAAACTTGAACAAGTATGCCAGAGTTCCCTGTGGGTTTGCTGCAATGAAGGATGTTCGCACAGGAAGTCATGAAGACAGGTAAAGATTTCACAATTATYTTTTAGAATATTAAAATACAGAACAAATCAAATGCCATGTTTATGTAATTGAATTAATTGATATTTGAGGAGCTGTCTGTCTGCAGTCTAATTACCAAGTCTTAAATTTCCCATTTGTAAATGTATTAAATTGTAAATCTCTTGAATGTCTATAAACTGTTTCCATAGTTTTATAGTGTGCTCCATAAGAATATTCTTAGTTTAGTAACCTTTCATTTGTCTCAGTAGATTCAGTAGAACCTTTCATTCAGAGCAGTAGAGTAATTACTTTCAAACAAAATATACTTTAAATCTGTAAGTTTGTCAGAGATTTATTTGTTTTTTCTGTGATGCTGTTTTGTACTGAATGTGCTGAATCATTTCCCTCCAAACACAGTTTCTTCCAAGTGGTAGGAACGCTCATGGAATTATGTTCAGCAGTAATAGTCATGAAGTCTTCAGAGATGGAGCAATGAGAATATTTATTTTACTGATGTTCTAGAAAGGAGATCTCCCTTAAGGACATCCCCTTTTCTCCACAGGATGGACTCGTTCTTCCTGGCYGAGATGTTTAAATATCTGTACCTGCTCTTTGCTGATAAGGAGGACATGATTTTCGACATTGAAGATTACATCTTCACTACAGAAGCTCATCTGTTGCCACTGTGGCTCTCCACTACAAACCAAACCATCTCCAAAAAAAATACAGTATGTAACAGCTCCAATCTGAATCAGTTCCTGTGGTATGCTTCCTTTCTTTGAGGGGAAATGGAAATAAAATCAGGAATGATCACAGTTTCAGGAAGTGCACCAGTCTTAACACGGTGTTTGATAGGCACTGTTTCATCATACTAACTGTGCCAGTCACAAGATCAGGAATTCTYGATTCTGCACTGCTGAACTTTGAGAAAAAAAAGCTATGAATTATTAGCAAGGTTTAAAAAGAAAATCGTTCCCCACCTCTGTATGAATTGGAAGATAAGTAGGGTATTTTTGTCCCCATCTTTATTTTCTATTATTTTAGCTAMAAACCTAAGCTTTTCTTGTTTGTTTTACTACRTGAACAAATTTTCAGAGGTTTTTTRAGACAGCTGYGGAGTTAATTTGACAAGATACAGCTGTAGACAGATTTGGGATGTTTAATCACTTTATTCCATGCAGTAGGCATCTGTTGTGTAAATGTGAGAACTCTTAGAGGTTAATAAATTACTTAACCTTCCAGAATAACCTGSAGTAATACAACTGTGCTGTGAAGCATCATAAGTCTTGCCTTTTTTTTTATTTTGTGGTCAATAAGGAGACATAATTTGTCTATAAGGCAATAAGAAAAAGGCCAAAGGAAAAAAAAGATGGTGTCTAAGACATCAAGGATCCAAATTCCCTTATTGGTGCCTCTTTTTTAAACATTTAAAGAGTTTTACAAAAATGCCTGGATCAGAGGAAAAGGCTTTTGTTGTGTGTCAAGCCATGTGTCCTGGAAAAATCAGCCTGTTTGATGGAATTGAGCATGAACCAGTGACAAAATTTTAACTATTTTATCTTAATGCTGAACATTGGTTATGTATTCAGTGGGTCATGGGATTGGTGTTTATTGTTCCTTCACGGTGAAGATCCCACATCCTCTCTGAAATGTTCTTTCCTGGAGAATTTATCTTTTCTCTTTGAATTTTGGAAACAGGCTGCTTTTTAAAATATGCAAGAAGTTTTCTAAAGCAGCATTTTGTGTACCTTTTGTGTATTAAATAAGAATTTAACACCTTTGAGACAGGCAGTGTTAAGTGCTGGCCTAATGTGGGTCATTCTCTTGATAACTGCAAATGTTAATGAAAGGCTGGTACAGAGGGTAGAAGAAAYAGCTTAAAAGCATTTTTTAAGTTCTTTGAGTCAAAGCTGCAAATGGGCATAATGCAAGTCAGACAAACCCATTGCACATGGTGTCAGGTGACTGAAGGGCTGTGATGTCGGGTGTTCCTCTTGTATGGAATTTTATTGGAACTGATGGAACGTGTAAATGATTTTTAACATAAACACAGTGCTATTAAAGCAAACTGTGAAAGAGAGACTTGGGACTATCAACCCAACATCCTGTTTGTGTTTGCTCTCATAAACAGGARAGGTCATGTCCTAGTTACAGCCCTCTAAGTCTTGGGGTTTTGGGAGCTTTTAAATACTGAATTTTTCATTGGCCAATATTGTGCAAACAGGAGGGGTGAGTTTTTTCAGGTAGATAAATACTACACTGATTTTTATGGGTGAGAAAATGAATTTGCTGGTTATGCATACCTAGTTATTTGCTAAGCTAAGGRCAGGCTAAACGTGGCTCCAAACCACCAGACATGTTCTGCAGGTTTCACGTGTTACGAACCAGCAATTTGTGCAAATGTTAACTCTGCCATCTTTCCTGAAAATAGAAATTGTTTGAATTATAGGCTCATCATTGCCCATCCAGACTTGCAAGGCTGTGTGGCTCCTGAGGAGGAGAATCTTTTGTTCACATGAAAAGATGTGACATTTTTAGTAAGCATGACCTAAAGCCTGCAGCCGGTCACTCGCTGTGAAGCCAGTATCAAGTGAAGCCAGAAATACTGCTTTACTTGTCCAGCAGATAAAGTACAGAGCAGTGGCTTTGTCATGAGCAGGCTTGAGAGGTACTGTCTGCCGGATGAGGATTTGGTGTTTCTGCAAAAAAAACCACCTAGAAACTGTATATAAATTCAGCAAGTTACAAATTAGAGTGGGTGTTGTATTCATGTGCTCTGGTACAGATTTCTTTCATTAGGCTTACCTTCTGATRTTCTTTGTGTAAAAATATCATCTGCTTTTCTTTACCCTGTATCTCACATTTCAGACCACGGAGTACACAGAGCTGGACGACAGCAACTTTGACTGGACCTGTCCCAACACCCAGATCCTCTTCCCRAATGACCCCATGTTTGCCCAGAGCATCCGTGAGCCTCTGAAGAATGTGGTGGATAAGAGCTGTCCCCGGGGCATTTCCAGAGCGTAAGCTGGGCATTCCTTCTCCTTTGGTGGCACAGGAACAGGGTCTGCTCTTCCTGCGGGGAAGAAGGAACATGAGGAGTGCTGGAGCTCACAGTCCTTYTGGGGTGGATGGCCAAAGGAATGATTCCTGCTCCTGTGAACAATCCTCTGGCATCCTCAGCAAGAATTCCATTGTTTCCACCTGGAATTAGAAAGTCTTTCAGAGCACAAGGAGCTGAACGAGCCACATACCTGGGCTGCAGCTTCCACCYGGAGTATTGCAGGAAGTGTGTCTCTCAGGCATTCTCCTGAACAGTTCTGAAAATCTTTGTAGTAAGCAAATCGTGCTGCCACACATAACTTCACCTGTTTGGGGGAGTTCAGGGCAAAGTTAAGGCTGAGGAAGTTTGTCCTCCTGACCACCTCTTCAGCATTTATGCTTCATGAATAAAACTGAGTAGCAACTGTATGGGGCAAACCAGGTGTGGTCARCCTTGCAATAATGCAGACCATTTACAAATGAGAGAGCATATGGCAGTTTTATTATCAGTAGTGGGGGAGGGTTTTTTGCATTATAAAATTATTGATAAGACAGACAACTTAAAAAAAACATAACTTGACTGAGAAGTTGCAATCCACCGAAGCTTGGACTCAGTGTGCCAAGAATTCCAATCTGGCGATGGTAGGGATAACAGTAGAGTTCTGATTCAAGGGTAATCTTGAAAGTTTTTTAAAACTTTTTCTAAAAAGTTTTTTAAAGCTTTGATATCTTTTGGCAGAGAAGAGAGTTTGGGAAGTGGACCAAARCCACCATTGAGAGCCAGAGATTTCATGGCCAGTAATCCTGAGCACCTGGAGATCCTGAAGAAGATGGGAGTCAGTCTGATCCACCTGAAGGATGGACGAGTACAGTTAGTGCAGCACGCAGTGCAGGTAAGGCCTGGCAGGATTTTTGTTTTCAGCAAAGTCTTCCTAGCAGTGATATTTGACACCTGGAGCTCCAGGAGGGACAGCCACCCTGTGGAAGGAGGCACATGAGCTGCAGATGCAGCTGTATTTAGCAGGCTGATGCTTGCTAATATTTTGCCTCAGAACACTTTGAACTAATCTTCATTGAATTCAATTGAGGCTGCTCATGTTGAATTATGTAGCCAACAGCATCTTAGCTGCAAACACTGCTTTCAGTGTGAGATATTTCCATTTCTGTATGAGGTCTGTATATTTTTAATCTCCTGGGTGGTGCAGGTGGTAAACCTTTGGTGAAATGATGCATGAGTGGCAGTGAGCATCCATCCTGTGTGTTAARATCTTTGTAGCAGTGGTCCCAGCAAACACAACTTCAATTTCTTTTCCCCCAAGTTCCTGAAATGTTTAAAATAAAATTGTTTATTGATTGTTTACTCTGCAGGCAGCAAGTTCCCTGGATGCTGAGGATGGCTTACGGTTCATGCAGGAGATGATTGAGCTCTCCAGTCAACAGCAGAAGGAGCAGCAGCTTCCTCCCCGTGCTGTGCAGATCGTTTCCCATCCCTTCTTTGGCAGGGTGGTGCTGACTGCTGGGCCTGCACAGTTTGGGATGGACTTGTCCAAGCAGAAAGCCGGGGTATGTGAGCTGTGGGTGGRAGCTGTAACTGTTGCTCAGGCTGCAGTTTCACAGCACTGCTGCTGTTGCAGCTGATGATCCAGGGGATCAGTTAATTACAGTGGTTATAGAGTGACAGCRCCCAGCAGTGGCAGTGACAACAGTGACAGTCGTGGGGATAAGTGGTTTATCTGGCAGTGCCCTGTGCTCTGTTCCTGAGTCATCAGTCACAGCTTAGGATTTACAGTCCATGCCCAGCATGAGCTAGGAACAGACTTATCCAGTCTGCAGTGCACAGCTAAGGAGACGGGGATTTAAGGAAGCTTCCCTCCCATGTCAGCCAGGGACTGCCGGAAGCATTTCTAGAGTAACTTGTTCTTAGGAAAGCTTTTCTAGAAGGCTCTGTGTAGATGGAAGAGGGAAATGCCACAGAGGCAGTGGCCCCAATGGGAAGCAGTAGGAAAACCCACATTGCAGCCCCAAAGAGAGTTCCAGATAGATCAGCAGTTCACAGCAGAAAAATTTCCAGAGGCAACACTTCCCAGGTGTAGAGAAAACACACTGATTATGAGAATTAGGCTTTCACTCATTCTTTGCTTCCAGAGCCCCAGTTTCAGGGCACGGATTGTCTGCACTGACACCAGGAACCACCAATGCATATGGGGGACTGAAGGAACAAAAATACATGGGAATCTTTCACAAGCATGACCATAGTGCTCTAATTCTCTCTTTATTGTTGTTTTTTGCAAACAGACAAGAGGATTCGTTGCAACCATTAAGCCATATAATGGATGCTCAGAGATCACTAATCCTGAGGCAGTGAAAGAGAAAATTGCTTTGATGCAGAGAGGCCAGTGCATGTTTGCTGAAAAGGCACGAAACATTCAGAAAGCTGGAGCAATAGGAGGCATTGTCATTGGTAAATAAGATTCYAAGTTCTTAATTTGTGTAAATGTAACCTAATTTGACAGATTTGAAGATAGAGGAAAGCTGACAAGCTTTAAGCTGAGAAGCACAGCAACTGTACTTWCAGAAGATGAAACAGATGTTTGGGGTTTGTCTGGTCCTGTGCAGACACCACTGGGGATGGGGAATTGTCAGTGTTTGTGCAGATTAAAAGTTTTTACTTTAAGGATCACACGGTGCTGTCAGTACCAAGAACGGGGRTACAGATGAAAGGTGTGGAGGAAAACACAGCAGGCTGGGGTTTGCTCTGCAGTGCCTGGGCAGGGGAGGATGCTCCAAGTGCAGCCTGGTCTAATGGAAGTTTGGCCTTCCYGTGCTGTGCTCCCCTAGATGACAAYGAAGGCAGCAGCAGTGACACAGCCCCGCTCTTCCAAATGGCTGGGGATGGCAAGAACACAGACGACATCACCATCCCCATGCTCTTCCTGTTCAACAAGGAAGGGAACATCATCCTGGACGCCATCCGCGAGTACGAGGCTGTGGAGGTGCTCCTTTCTGACAAAGCGAAAGACCGAGGTGAGGCTGAAGGTGATTTCTGTGAATCCAGCTCATATCTGGGCCCTTGTGGCACCATGGAAAGTGGGCAGGAGTGATGGGCACTGCTGCCCAGAGGTGCCATGGCTTTCTGTGTGACACTGTGTGACACTGGGATCCRTTTTTTATTGAGAGCCATTATCTGAGATGTGTCATCATCCACTCCCTCCATGAGGTGACATCCAGCAATGCTGTTCCTAAGTTAAATGCCACTTTGGCTAATGAGGGAATCCAGCCTTTTGGATTCCTTCTGAGGCCTTTTTGTCATCAGCTGCTTTGCAGTAGCATCAGGAACAGCATGTGTGTTTCCAGTGCCCTACATTGTGAATGCCTCTCCCTCACCAAGCTCCCCAGTGACATTCCTGGGACCCAGAAGGAGAGAGATGAGTGTTAGAATTATTCTGCCTAACTCAGGAGAAGTGGTAATCATGAGAAATAAGGCTGCTGACCTCAGATGTTTCGTGGGTGTTCTTGTGTAATACAAGAAAATTGCAAGCTAATACATTCCCAGTTAGAATGTTTGAATGCGGCAGAAAATTCCAGATTTTCCTCTTGTAAGCCTTCCTTGTAGCACTGCTGTGTCCAAGCAGAGTAGGTAAGAACAAGTATCTGCAGAAAATCAGCACATTTCTAAGGGGATCTGCCAAAATCTCGTCTTTTTTCTTCCTATCTTACAAATCCCTCGTGTTTGTAACCTTGCTTTAGTGCTCTGACAAAATGCTAAATATGAGATAGCTCTACCTTTGAGAGTTTGTAATCAGTATCTGCTTCTTCCCCCTCCTCGTGCTTCCATTTGGAATCTCAGCAACAATCTTTAAAGGTAAAATGATTCCAAACTACATTATTGATAGCAGTAAGTATCCCATGTCAACAGTGGCATGTRCAGTTAAATTCCTTAGAAATGCTGAAATGTCGGTGTCCTGCTCATAGCCATAAACATCAAACTAGAGAAATCTGCATGACTGACCTGGGCAGCTGCTGGGTGCCAAGCTGGGATGTGGGAGATGTGCTCTGAGTGGGGAGGCTCAGGCTTTGGCTCTCTCAAATTCACAGTTCAGCAAATTCAGGAAACTGGCTCAGATGGGGGATCCTGGTGGATCTGGGAGYGCTTTCAAAGCCAGCATTAAAGCTCAGGGCACACACTGGATATTTGCTTGAAGCTGAAGGAGGGTAACTGGCACTGGACCTGCAAGTCACTGCTGAAGTTTGAGGAACCAAAATGAGCCTCACTCTACTGTTTGCCCTCATTTAAAATGTGTTTAAAAGCCTTCCCTCCCATCCCTCTGTAAAATATATTCATTAGTAKGATTAAATTTTCATATCACTGGAAAATCTGCGCTTCCTTGAAGAAATAAGGCCAAGGGAAGTGACCTTGATTTTGAAATACATGATAAAATGCTGCCTTCCTACAGTTATTTTAACTTTTTTTTTTTTGTCTTTTTTCCTCCCCTCTCAAAGACTTGGAAATGGAGAATATGGACCAGAAATCGTCTGAAAATGATTCACAGAAACCAAATTCCAAGGAAGCTCTTTCAGAATCTCAGGATGCTGGAGCAGGCAGTGAGAAGCCYGAAGGAGGAGCAGAGAGCTCTGCTGTTGATGCTGCGGATCCTTCGCCCCCTGCCAGCTCAGATAGTGCTGGATCTTCTGCAGCACAGGAGGATCCCCACACAGCTCCRGGGCCAGTATGCACACCAGGGGACAGCCAGCCTCAGGAACAGCCCCCACACACAGAGGCTAGCTCCAACACTCACTGGGACAGCAAAGTCCAGCCTATGGAATCCATATTAGCAGACTGGAATGAAGATATAGAAGCATTTGAAATGATGGAAAAGGATGAACTATGACTTGTAATAATAACTTATTTGTTAATAAACAAATGGAGACCTCTTCGGGTAGAAGTGAGGCCCTGATATCCGAGAAAACATATTCAGTATTGGGATGAGCAGCCAGGTGTCACMTGGAGAACACCATAGAATTCCAGCACATGCCCTCTGTATTTTTTAGTTTTTCCTGTTTAAGGATGGGAACGTGCAATGTGCAATCCAAGCATCATGGTGGCCCTGGGACTGGGGGGCCCAGCCCGACTCCTGTGTTCCAGGCTCCAGGTGCACTCCCTGGGGCATTCCCTGGGGCGCTCCTGGGCTCTGGGATGCAGGAGCTGAGCAGAGTGGGCTGACAGACCCCATCAATGGCCCTCTCAGCAGCAGGGGAATTGTTTCCAGTGTTGGCACAGCTGGAAGCAGCCTGGTCCTGTCTGACATATCACCGTGCTGCTCCTCTCTCTGCACCCTTTGTGACCACSGGGAGCTTCCTTCCATCCCTCCCTGCTGCTGTGCTCGCAGCTGGAGGAGTTGTGCAAACCAAAGKCAAGGTGTGAGCATGTCCCCTCAGGGAGCTGGGCCAGCCTGGGGCCACCAGGAGGAGGTGAGGGAAGGTCCTGCTGGAGCTGAGGGGAAGCAGACGGGGCAGGTGGGGAGTCCCAGGTGTTCCCCTTGGCTCCCAGGTGTGCCCCAAGACACGGAAYAGTCTCTGAAAGGACACAGCTCCAGCAGCTGGAACAAAACCTTTTTCTACAAGTTTGACTTCAACAGCTTGAATCCATTGTTCTTTCGATATGCAACTCCTGTGTGTGCTGTTTGAGGCAGGGAGGCCAGTGCCAGTAGGGAAGGGCAGCAGTTCTGCCTGTTGGCTCCATAGTTCAGAGTCCAGGGCTGTTATTCCAGGCTCTGGAGTTGGTTACAGGTAAGTGTCAGTCCTAATTTGTTATCCCCATTATATTTAGGTAAAAATGGGGAAGTTTAAACAATRTTAGAGGCATTTTGACTGTGTCCAAAGAAACTGCCAAAAATGAATTATCTTGATTTATATAAACTGCTTTTAGTGAATTGTGGTTCAAGGAATTGTTTTATATTAAAGACTAAATGAACACTGCCTATATGCTGCACCAGGCTAAAAATGAAGGTTTATATTCATCATTGCAATGGAATAAATAAACAGCAAGCCCCACTCTGAACTGCACCTTTGATTTAGCTGGTGAAATGACATGTGCTGAATATGCAATTGTTAATTAGCACAGCCATACGCTGTATTTATCCTCTGTACAGTGAGCAGAGCAATCCCAGACAATGTTGAATCCATGTACTCAGCCACACTTGCTTTCAAAAGTCTCAGAATGCACAAGCACCTTTTGAGAGCATGGCAGTCCATCCAAATATCATCCAGAACTTTCAATCACCAGGGTAGGAGTGGATTTGAGGAGGAACAGTGGCTAAGTGTCCTTTGAAAGAAATTAGCTTTTAAATGGAGTTGTTCCTTTGCACAAAGAAATGTCCGGAGGGTTGGACTTGAAGCAGCTGGGGAATGTTTTTATTTATGGTTTTGTTGCATGAGTTTCTTCCTAGAAAGCATTTGACCATGGGAGCCTTGCAAGTGTCCCTTGGAGCCCTGGGAGCACCAGGACCTGGCCGAGTGCAGATCAAACCATCAGGTGCAGATCAAATACTTTCACTCAGACAATTCCTTTGATCTGCCAGTGCTCAGTGCCACAAAAGGAGCACTTTTGTTCCCATGCTCTTTGACATGGACATCATCTTCCTTCTTTGGTAGCTCTTTTGGTGGAAATAGAGTTATTTTTATATCCTAGAGGCCTCTGGTCATTACTCTCTCAATATAGCAGCTAAAGGTTTTCTTTTTTTACTTAGGTGTAGATGTCAAATTTTATTAAATGGTTACCCTTCCTTGCCATCACCAGCTCATTTTTAGTAACTGCTTTCTCCACACCTGTTAGTAGAGCAGCAGGCATTACCTTTTCAGGGATTTCCAAGGATCCCTGAACTGTGTAGGGATTTAGGGCAGCATTTTGGTGGTGGCCTACCTCAGCTARCTGTTGCCTCCTTCCTTTGGGGTGGTTTTTGTTCCATTTAGTTCTGCTTCACCTTTGAAACCATCACGAGAGCCATAGCTTTGTTTACAGAACTGAATCAGGCAAGGTTGACCTTTTGGGAAAGAGGATTAAAGTAGGGGGGACAGTTTTATTCAGGTTATTTTCACTTTGTGTTTCCTTATGAGGACATAGGCTTTAGCTTAACTTCTTCATATCATTTTGGAAAGAATTCAGTTTCCTGTTACTGTCATCTTAAAAGGCAAAAAGAATGTATTMATCAAAAAAGAAAAACCCTTTTGGAAAGGGGAGCAAGTGTTCTTCCCAGATGTTTGGAAGTCTGCTCCCTACACATGGAATATCGCTGGTAGATGGTTAATCAGGAATCACCCTTCGTGTAGCATTGTACATTTCTCTATGGTATTGAACACTGAAGAATTCAGGAATCACAGCTGCAATAGCACTTATGCCATGCCATGTAACTCAGATCAGCCAATTAATTTCTCATTTGATCTTGGAGGAACCTTCTTAATTGTTTACATTTATTGTTTCTTAATGAAGTTTGAGAATGAGCCCGGCTTTGGTTCTCCTCCTGCCAGTGTCCCTGAGTAGGCAYCGACGAGTGTGTGTCGAGAGGTGAGAAACACAACATCTTATGCAACAGGCATCAGTCAGAACATAGAGAACAAACCATTCTGTGAATGAAAATTGTATGTTCAGATTTTATAAGATTTTTGGTTTTGGTGGTTTGTTTTTTTTTTTTTAGCCAGACCAATTTACAGCCGTCTATTTTCTTATGGAAGATGTCTAATAACAGGTGCTGTAACACCGTTGTTGGGTTTTACTMTCTGGTGGTCAGTGTACACAGTATTTCTAAGGGCAACTATGTACTGTGATGTAAAAGTCTGGGCTAAAATGTACATAATCCATGTACATAATTGTGTACTTGATTATAACTGCTGATTGTAAAGATTTAATAAAATGTAAATATTCTGGTCAGGCCGTGCTGAGCTGGGCTCATTTCTGCATCGCTCTTGGCAGTCATTTTTAGCAGGGCAGTCACACCAATCCTTCAGTGGCAGCCTTAGTGAGGGGATGGGGCAGGTTCGTGGCTGCCACCCTGGAGAAGCTGGAATTTTGCCAAACCCAGAGGGATTGTAATAACCAAATTATTATAATGGATACCTTTTCAGTCTGCAGTTGAAACTGGACTGGAAAYGCTCTTAGCAACCAGATCTGATTGGACTATTTTCAACCTCTCTTCTCTGTAACTTTGCCATTACTATTTTCTTTTTGAAATCCAGAATCCAGACACTCAAAAATTCATTTTGACTACTGTACCTGTTTTATTTAGAATGAAAAGGCTCTTGAGGCTGATGAGGTGAGTCTTGGAGGGGCAAATCCCTCATCCTTCCTCTGTTAGGAGCTTTCCTCCACCACCTCTGGTTCTATGAGCTTTTCCTCTGTGGAAGTTTAGATTAAGAAAATCATGGTTAAGATGCAGGAGCCCTAAATTCCAGTCCCTGTGGAAGTGCTGAGCAGTGTTTATCATGTTGGGCAGAAACCATTGTCAGCCTTGCTAGGGAAGCGCTCAGTTTCTCCAATCTGCAGCGTKTTCCCTGCATAATGGGAAGGTCAGGATTTAGGGACAGGAGTGTTTTKGAGCAAAGGCCCTTCCTGTCTCCCTTGTCCCTCAGAGGGACACTCTGCAGGTGTCCTGTCCCCCGTGCAGGGGCAGGGGACATCAGTGGTGCTGCCTGTGCAGGCAGAGGGCTGAGATTGCTTCAAAGGCAACAATCAAACCAAACTGACAGCTGGGCTGGGCCGTGCCCGGCTCTCTATTTCTTTTACACCAGGGCTGCCGAGGTGTTCATTTCTGGGTCTGAAGGGGTTCCTGATGCTTCCACTGGGATGGGATGGCCCTGGGATAGATGCCTGAGGAGGGCTGGGTGGCAGCAGGTGCTCACCCCTCCTATTAAACCTGTATTAATCAATTTCTGCCGGTGCTTGTACCGAGGGCCTGCTCCTCAATCGTCACATTTCCATTTCCCCTCAGCCGTCACATTTCCATTTCCCCTCAGCTCACACGAAGGACTCGAGGGCTCTGCCTGAAATTCAGCCTCAGCTGCTGCTCACCCCATCAGTCCCATCAGCCCAGAGCTGCTGTGGCAGGAGTCCCATTCCCTCCCCAGGTGCTCCATGGAAAGGTGATGTCAATAAATGCTTCCAGCTGGAAGGGGGCCTGTGAAACACTYCTGTTTGCCTGGGAAAGTTCACCCAGGTCATTCAGCCCCAGCACGGGCGAATTCATCTTCATTAATCCCTTGGTGGAGAGCACAGTGATGCCAGGGCACCGGGGCTGGGCCCCTGCAGAGGCTTTTTAGCCAAAATTCTAGCCAAAATTGTACCCAAAAGCCTGGGTGGTGCCCACTGGCCCCGCAGGGGTTTTTAGGGAGCAGTGGGGCTGCCTCGGGTGCCCCAGCGGCTGCCACTCCAGAACAGACCTGGTGGCAGCAGTGCAGGGCAGAGAATGAGAAGCAATCCAGAAAAGAAGATTCATCCTCAAAAAACCCAAGCCTAGCCCTGCCCCAAGGTGGCTGTGGCTCTTGCCTGGGGCTGCCATGGGAGCACCRCGCTGGGGCGGCACTGGCAGATTCTGGGCACCGCCTTGGCCCAGGGCTGCTCCGGGCTCAGCGGGGGACATGCAGCAGCAGCCTGGGGGAGAAAAGGATGACCTGGTGGTGCTGAATTGGATGCATTTCGAGATTTCCTCTTCTCCTGACAGGCAGGATGGTTTGAGATGTGCTCGAGGCTCCCCTCCACAGCAGAAGCCATTTCCTCATTGTGCTCTGCCCAACGCCCCTCACAACTGAAGAGAATCAGCGAAGGTGGCTCAGAAAGGCCTGAGGGGGAAAAGCCGGGTGAGASRTGCCCAGGGGRGAGCAYRAAAGGCCTGAGGAGGGAAAGGCTGGGCAAGAGGTGCCCAGAGGAGGGCAAGAAAGGCCTGAAGGGGGAAAAGCCGGGTGAGACATGTCCAGGGCAGAGCAAGAAAGGCCCCGGGCCCGGTGCCACTCTCGGTGGGTTTGGTTTCTGTAGTGCTGTACACGGCTCCCCACACTCCTCGGGCCGTGGCTCCTGCAGTGCCAGCTCCAAGCAGCTCCTGCCCATGATGGCTGCAGCAGCATTACGGCATCATCAAAAATTACAGAGCTGCTATTTTGGGCAGCAGCTCTCTCCGAGGCACTGAATAAACGCAGCTCTGTGACTCACTCCGGGGATTATTAATAGACACAGAGCAGAATGCCAAAACCCCGGCAACGGCTCCATTCCCACACSGAGCTCGCCGCCAGCCTCTCGCAGTAACGGGGCCTGAGAACTTCTCGCAACATTGCATTTCTTTAATATGCATGTATATTAAAAAAAATAAATATACATATTTTCTGTAGAACTCACAGCTCAAAGTCTTCGGGGGGATGTTCTGCAGGAATGAAGGAGGGTTGCTCCAGGGCACCAGGCTCTTTCCAGGACAGCAGAGCAGCACAGAGGGAGGGAGACATTCCAAGAAGGAAGGAATCACCGGCTTCTCCTTTGGCTGCCATGGCAGTCAAAGGAGGCTGGAGCTGGCTTTATGAACGAGGTTCAGTCCCACATGTGTCAGTGATGAAGATGAYGATCCTGAGAATGATGAGATGATCACACGCCCATCTTTGAACTCAAAGTGAGCCTGGGTGGCACGGGTAGAGGTGCGCAGCTAAACTAAAAGAAAACAACACGATTTTTTTTAGAAAGCAGAGACATCAACATTTGTGAGTCCTGCCAACCTTCCCACCTTGCAGTCCCCTGAGCTGCGGCTGCTTTCCCTTTGCCACAAAAGTACAGCAACAACAATAGGAGTTCCACCCAGTGCTGACTCAACTTTTGGATGTCTGACCTCCCCAACAGTAAAGCCAATCAGGCGCCCCTCCAAAGCTATCCCTGCACTTGCAGTCCCCTCTTCCCCTGCAGAATTCCATTAACCAGAGAGGGATTTCAGCCTGGAAAAGAGAGTTTACTAGCACTACCCGACCCAAAGCAGCGTCTCCCAGTGTTCAATTCTCCCAAAAGCATCCTCCACAAAGCCCCACTGGCAGGAAGTGCCACAAATCTGTGCTCAGTGAACACTAAAAACTGCCTGAATCACACTGTGACCTTGGYTGAGCTCAGAGCTTTTGATTTTCCAGAGTGCCAGGGGTGTTACCTCCCTCTGGGCTGRGGCTTCCCCAGACTGGTCAAAGCTTCTTCGGCACAGGACATGCTGCTCAGCCTCCTGAGCACCGCACAAAGCACCCAAGCCAGGCACTGCTTTTACAGCAATGGAGACCCAGAATGGTTTGGGTTGGAAAGGACCTTAAAAATCATCTCATCCCACCCCCTGCCATGGGCAGGGACATCTTCCACCATCCCAGGCTGCTCCAAGCCCAGTCCAGCTTGGCCTTGGGCACTTCCAGGGGTCCAGGGGCAGCCACAGCTTCTCTGGGCACTCTGTGGCAGTGTTCCACCACCAYAGTGGAACTGGACACCACCCATTTTGTGCAGAGCCCGCGTGCCATTTGCTCTGTGACAGACACTCAGCACCCACCTCTCCCACCCTGGAGGTCTGGGGTGTCAGCCAGGCTGATCTGGAGCTGAGTCATTGCTGACTCCAAAACAGAAGTGACAGGAAATTACTGTTTCACGGACCTGGGAAAAGTGAAATATTTGACAACAGATTATTTATCTCCAGGCTGATTCTCGTGGGATGATGGTGACATCTCGGGAGTTCCAACACATCCCCTCGTGCTTCATGGACCCCTTGTATCCTGTCTCCCATCCAGAGCTCCCAGTACCTGTTATGCTCCAGGGCAGCCTCGGCCTGGCTGCTTTCACAGCAACAAAGGCACGCTGCAAAACCCCACAGAATGCTGCTGATCCCTCCTTGTTCCTCCAGCCATTGAAAAAAAACCCACAGAATGCTCCTGCTCCCTCCTTRTTCCTCCAGCTRTGGTAAAAAMCCCACAGAACGCTGCTGYTMCCTCCTTGCTCCTCCAGCCACAGCAGCACCAGGCACTGTCCAGCTGCAAGGATCAGAGCCTGCCCAGGCACCCAGGGACAGGGGATGGATGAGGATGCTCCTGGGATGAAGATTTCACCTCTAGTTCAAGCTCCTACTGAGCCCAGGGCGTGGAGGGGAGCACGGAGCCAGCCTGGGGCTGGGAACACAGGGATGGGTCCTGCCAGGGAGACTCAACTCACAACAACCAAACCTCTGAGGGAATGCAAAGGAGGAAATTCATGTGAATTGCTGAATGTAGGGGCACAGGTGACCCCAAGCTCCCAGTAAGTAAATAAGAAATGAAACATAGCCCAAGGCAGCAGCTCCCCAGCTTTGCTTCCAGGGCTTAGGGCAGGCTCTGAGGAGGAAAACCAGCATCATTCCAGGGGCTCTGGACAGARGAAAATGCACTTCAGGGGAAGAAGGTTGACTGCAAAACTTCRTCACAATTTTCTCCAGAATCCCAGAACATCTTGGAGGTGGAGCTCAGGAAGCAGTGCCTGAGGCTCCTGAAGGGAAGGCTAGGTCTCAAATCACTTCCCTGGCACTTCTGTGGAGAGGAACYTTGGGATCCCATTCAGAGCCAAGCACAGTGCACCAGAGAGCAGCACTTTTCCTTCACCCCCACCCGCCTCTGTTCCACGCTGCTGAACGTCTCTGAGCAGAGCTGGGGCTTCCAGGAGAGAAGCATTTCAAACCAGAGCAAGCTGCTCACATCATCACAGACCCCCAGCTGTCACAAGTATTCAAATTCCCAACAAAATCTGCCAGGATTTCGCAAAGGTGGAAGAACTTCAGCAGGTTCCAAAGCTCCAGCCCACCCTGGTGCCTCCTCAGGCATTCACAACTGTTGGCATCCACAGGTCCAGCAGCGAGGCTGATCCATCCAGGAGTCTCGAGCACCTCCTTATTCCTGCTGCTGGCTGGAGTAAGAGCACAGGGAAGATGGGAGCTG